TGACACTGTCTCTGTGCATTTCCACGCCGTGAACATATATGATTACAACCAGGTGCCCTGTCACCGACACCCTACACTCCAGCACCCCGTAATTTGCACCGTACCTCCCTCCTCCGCCCAGGTGCCGTTGTTGCCTGCCACCTACATACCTACCTCGGGTATTCGTGCCTACTTAGTTGACACCTACTTGGTCCCGTCATCATTGTCGTACGTGCATATTTTGTCTTTACCTGTATATATTGCAAGTCCTGGGGTCTCTCTGGGGAGCTCTGTACATAGAGTAATTACCTCTTCACTTTCTCATCAATTTTGTCCAGCCATCATAATCCATTCGAACTTAGCTCGGCAGTAGCTAGCTAGCCCCTTCATTTTTGTATAAAATCACCTTGACCCGCAAGCGCCCTTGACCACCCCTATTTCCTCCCCAGTCTCGGCAACCTCAGCGGCACGACCAACAAAAACGCCACCACGGTCAACACTGTGGAGAGCATAAACGTAATCCGCAACGACGCCTCATAGCTCTGCACCACAGGCTCCCGATACTCAAGCGGCAAGTCCCGGATCGCCTCGACCGACTTCCGCACCAGCGCCACGACGGCCCCCTTCTCCGGCCCCTTGACCAGCTCGTCCAGGTAGTACCACAGGGCGTTCTGCACCACCAGCGAGCTGCACGCCACGCCAAGCACCTGCCCCAGGCTCCGCCACAGCATCAGCGTGCTCGTCGCCACGGCCTGCTCCCGCTGCTCGCTGACCGTCAACAGGGCCATGAACGTGCCGGGGAACTGGAACCCCGAGCCCGCCGCGCCCGGCAAGAGACAGAGGATGTAGAAGATGGCGGGCCAGCCGCGCTGCATTGAGGTCAGGCACAGGGCGCCGACGACACCGAGGGAGGTGCCCAGGACGAGGGGCCATTTCAGGCGGCGGGTGTAGCTGATGAGGAATCCCGTTGCCGTGCCCGCGGCGGACGCCATGCCGGAGGAAACGACGAGGCGGAAGCCCGATGTTGTGGCGCTTGTGAGGAGGACTCCTTGGAAGAAGAGGGGTCTGGCTGGGGTTAGAGGGCTACTGGTGTACTGAGGATAGAAGCGAGCTTACACATTGAAAAGGATGGCGTTGGAGGTGAGAGCAGTGATGTGGTTAGAGAAGATCAGGTTCATGTGCGGCGACTTGAGAATAAGGTGTAGCGGCATGATGGGCTTGACGGCGCGAGTCTCGACGTAGAGAAACGGGGGAAAGAACACGGCGAAGCCCATGAGCGAGGCGATGACGAAGGGATGCGACCAGGGAAGCACGTTTCCTCCGAGATTCTGAATTGTTAGCGACAGGAGCTTAGGGGCAGGTGAGGAGACTTACCAAGCCCAAGATGAGGGACGTCACGGAGCTAGAGAGCAGGATAGAGCCCTTGAAGTCAAACGTGCGCATGGCCTCGCGCAACGTCTGCTTCTTCTTTCCGTTTAAGCCCAGATCGCTGGGAACGACGGCGATAGCGACGGCGAGATAGATCACGATAATCGGTACCTGCACGCCGAATTCCTAGCGCTAGCCGAGATAATCTGCCATCGCACCACCCAAAGCCGCACCCAACATCGAGGCGAGACCGTAGGTCATGTTTACATATGACTGGAAGGCACCACGAATCCTATCCGAGTCAGTCTTTCTGTCCATAAAGTCGACGGGGGGCTTGCTCACTCGATCGGCACGGTATCGCTCACAATGATGCTTCCAAGCGTCATCATCCCGCCAGCTCCGAACCCACACACGGCCCGGGCAATAATAAAACTCGTCATGCTCTGCGCCAGCGCACACCACACCGTCGCAAAGAGGAACACGGCAGTCGTGATTACGTACGGGGCCTTCCGCCCAACCGCATCTGATAAACCACCGAGGACGGGCTGGAAACTGGTTGACGTTAACAAAAACGCTGTCGAGAGCCACGAGGCCGAGTTACTGCTCCCGAAGTACGATGTGATCACGGGGTGGCTCGACGCCATGATGGTACCGTCGAAGCAGGCGATGAAATAGCTGGCGTTGATTTGGAGAAAGAGCAGCCAGAAGCGGGCAACCGAGATGCCGCCGAGGTAAGGGTTTTTGCTCTTGGAGATATCATCGAGATCTTCAGCGGGGCTCAAAAGGGGAGTTTCCTCGTCGAGGATGGCTTCGCCCTCTAAGGGTTTAGCAACCGCACGAGATGTACTTCGGTGACGGCTTCGACTACGACTCTGGACCCGGGTGTTCCGTAGCATGCTGTGCTGGAAGGACTCGGGCTCCAGAAACGGCGCGGCAGACTGAACGGATCGCGAGAGCAGCACGTCAAACTGGTTGGGGTCCATGTCTTCACTGCCGGGGCCATCGTCGTCCCGGGCCCGGCCACGGGACGGTCGGGTGCTGGACGTGGGGATCGGCTCGGCACCCGACATGGATTCCGGATGCGTGATATCTGTTCTCTCCGTCGTCATTGACAATTCTCGCCTTCCTCTGATCAGTTAGTTTGGTGGAAAAGCTCAGCTGGGTACACAAGAGACCGAGGCGAGTTTGGCATTCACTATATCTGTGGAAACCGCCCATGACTCCTTCAACCTCCTGGCTGTGCATCCTTCCGATGTTCGGTCCGCGTTTCCCAGCCTTCCTGTCTGGGCAAGCCGGTGTTCATCGGATCCTTGCATCTTGCTGTCCCAATTGCGAGCTGAGTGGGGACTCGCTCCCGGGTGGATGCGACGGCGGGGTGTGCATTGCATCGCGGATTCTCGCCGCCTCATTAGCGCCGGTGTGCGGCATGCATGCAGCATGCAGAGCACCATCCAACAAGTGCTTACCATAAAAGCTCGGTCACGATGGGCCACATTGTTTCCGAGGCAACTATGCGGGGCGATCCCCAGTCCGATCATCCAAGGCACAGTCTGTGGTATTTCGTTTCAAAACCAGCATGTGCAGCGTCTCTCATAGGCGGCTGTTGAATCAACACGCTACATGAGGCGATGATTTTGGAGAGAGGCTATGTGCTGTGACTCGCCAGCGCGGCAGGAACTAGTATGCCGGCTCCGGTGATGCCGCCATCGTGGCAGGGAGTCAGGACGACCTTGACCGGCGCTTGTGCACCAAATTGGCGGTCTAGAACTTCGTCGATGAGCCTTTGTGTGTCACCCAGGTAATTCTGGAAATGTTGTATGCAACCACCCGTGTAGCCAACGGAGAGCACCGTCTGCTCGGCGTCTGTTTTCTCGGCGCCTGGCTCGGGTATTTCTTCGGCACACCGCAAGAGCCCCACAGTCGAGGCGGCGATGATACCGGCGGCCCGGACCTGGATGGCCTTCGCGATGCGGTAAAGAGCGTTGGCCAGCTCGGCCGTCCACCGAAACGACGAGTCTCCTGGCGTAAACTCTCGCTCGAGTTGCTGGAGCATTGGTCCCCTTGTGCTCTTGGGGTGAAGGTGGCTAATGAAGGTGGTTGGGAGGCCAAATCTTTCCTGTAGCTTGTTTGGCAAAAGGTCGACCGGAAAACCCAAAACAGTCCCATAGTAATCAAGAAATATGAGGCGCGCCAATTCGCCCAGGTATCTCCCGGCAGTCATGTACTCGAGTGGCTGGAACCCGGGGGTTTCGCCAGCCTGGTCCAGTTCCGTGTCCCACCGGCTAATGAGGCCGAGTTTCTGGAGGGGAGGTGTTGTTCCCCTGATGCTCCATTCGGTATTGACGGCAATCTTCACATCTGCGACCTCCTGGCCGGGCAAAATACTGATGGAGGCCGGCCGTTTGCTTTCGTGCAAGGTGCTCAACTTTAGAGGAAGCGTGGCGTTGCAACCAGTGCCAACGATCAATCCCATGGCAGCCTTCTGGTGCGCTCGAACTGGAAACTGGTAGATGAAGGACACGAGAGTTGCCACAGAGTCATTCGCAATAGCTGCAATCCGGATGGGCGGCATGTCGGCGGTCCGGTGCTTCTCGTAGCCCACTGTGAGGTGCTCGCCCAGATCCAGGTTGGACGTGACTGCAAAGCCCTTGCCCATGGGCATGAGAATTGCCTTGGAAAGCGACTTCTGCTGCATGGGAAAGCTGAAGGTCACCCCCATGGGAAGTTCAGCAGCACGGGAGACAGCCAAGGTTTCACAGCCCTTGCGCACCACCTGAGCGACCTGCTCACCTATCCAGGAGAACAGACTCTCCGAATTTTGACTCTTCAGGTATTCCTGAATGGGCCATGCTTGCTCGAGGAGACGATTCAGCTGATGGCCATCCTCTGTTGGCCCCCCCGGTGTATCTTCCCCCGCAGATAGCTCAACAAAACCGACACGCAGGTTCGACCCGCCGCTAGAGAAGTCAGCAGAGAACTCGGGATGGGTTTGGGTGCCTTACATATCTATGGCGAGGAATCTGCGGCATGTTAGGTTTGGTGACACGATGCATGCCGGCGTTGGGAGACCCACCGGCCATGGTCTCTCGCAGCAGGACGCAAGACGGACTCGGATATCGGAGTCGGCAAAAACTGATCCGAGGACTCGACAGATAAATGGCGGAAGGTCGATTCCAACTCATGCGAGAGTTCTACAACAGTGTCGATGTCGATAGCCAAGGGCCGCAAGAAGTCGTCGAGAGAGAGGGCTGCCATGTTTGGTCTTGGAAGTCGAATTTCCCAACTTACCTAGGTAGGTAATTAACCCTGCCTAATATCCACCGAAGAGACTAAAAAAGAGAGGGGAAAGCGCTTGAAGAGCGAGTGTCACGATTGACTGCATACGATGAAGGAAGGAGCGGATAACCACAAATATGGTGGTTTGTCAGGGGATTCGAGAAGGCCCACGGTATTATGGAAGGAATATTGCACAGCCATCTTCCGGCTCCTGTCCAGCTTAGCTACCACCCTTTGGCCAAAAAAAGCCGAACTCCAAGTGGAGGTGCCGCCAAAACCTTCGACTACAGGAACGAAAAGAAAGCCATTCGGAAGCTCCAGGTCTACATTTTATCGGATTCGGTTTCTTTGATTTAATTTATTTTACTCGGGTTTCATATGACTACTTCTTTTTATCTTCCTTTTGTTTTCTTTTTCCTTCTTTCTCTTTTCTTGATTTCTTGCTCCTCTTTCGAGTTCGGCTTTTTTTGGCTAAAGGGAGGAGGCTACATAAAACGTGCGTGAAGTCGAAATCGGGCTGCAAGGGGAAGGTACGATCCGAGTCACGGAGAGGATTGTTTCAGGTAAATTGTTCTCGAAACTGGCAGAAGAGCACCTTGAGGGCTTGGATTCCATTGGCTTTCTATCATAGTAAGTTTACCCATCTTGAAATCCAGCGGTGAAACGTTGCTATGCAGAGATCCCGGCGCACCTGGCCAGAACAATCCCACTTATTTTGTAGTCCCAAGCTTGTCGCCCACTTCGCCCCACCGGGCAGCTGATGCTTGGCTTACCTAAAGCGTGCTCTCGAGGTCATGGGGCTGTCCTCCTGTCGCAACAACACGCGTGCGACATCCAACGTCCGCTCAATACACCGAACCGCCCGGCCACATTGTGATCCCTAGCATTCCAAATACGACGATTTCCAAACCTAAGCTCCCCAATACTTGACATTGTGATGGACGAGAAACACGCGCCGATGCCGCCGCCGATCCGTAGGGGCCTCAGTCCCCTCAGGGTGGTCCTTGCGACGGGCTACTTGGCTTTCGCAGCCGTCCTTTGCTTCTACTTCACACCACGGGTGGCGCTTCCTCTTCCTCAGCCAGGCCTCTCAAAACCCGAGCACGCCTCGGTAATTGTAGATCATGATCTTATTCCCCTAGAAGCACATATTATGAGCAAGTGCCCCGACGCTAAGGTCAGCACCGCCTACCCTCGTCGTTTCGGCTAGAGTTGCTAACATGTCCTAGGACTGCCTCCGTGAGCTAGTACTGCCGACAATGCAAAGGGTCTACGACAAGGTCAACTTTACGTTGTCTTTTATTGGAAAGTACGTCATCCTCTAATCCCCCCGTCGCCTCCCCTATCGGACCCCGCTGACCCCCCCTCCTCAGGCCGACTGACCAAAACGATGGCGTGGACTGCAAGCATGGGCCGGAAGAGTGTACGCTCCCATATCTCGATATGTTTACTCCGAAGCCGCAAGCATCTAATATCCGATAACAGGCCTCGGCAACATCATCGAGCTCTGCGCGCAGAGGCTTTACCCCGACCCCAAGACGTACCTCGGCTTCACCATGTGCCTGACGCGAGACTACAAGCACATCCCGCAGCGCAGCTTGATCGAGGACTGTGCGCTGGAACATGCGATCGACTTTGACAAGCTCAACGACTGCGCGACCAAGGACGACGGGGCGTTTGGCATCGGCATGCTGAGGGAAAGCGTGCAGCGGACAGCCAAGGTAAATCCATCCGTCTTTCCCAGGATGGGCATCGAAGGTTCTATTCTAACTAACCGCCCAACCCCAATCTCCAGGCCGGCGTCACAAAGAGCTGCACGGTCCGGCTCAACAACGAAATCTACTGCATCCGCGACGGCGGCAAGTGGACGGACTGCCCGTCGGGCCCGGGGGTCAACGACCTGGTCATTGCGATTAGGAAGCTGTACTCCGCTTAAGCGGTTCAAACACGTCGGCCCACAAGTCACTGGCCTCGCCCAGGGTGTAGCATAGCGTAACGGCGTCCATGCCCACCTCGTCGTCCCCCTGCATGGTCTCGAGCTGCGCCATGATGCTCTCGAGCCCGACCGCCTTGCCCGTCGCCTGCGTGGCGCCCGCCTCGAGCGCCACGTGCACGATGTGGATGTGCAAGTGATAATACGTCGGCTGGTAGTGCACATACAGCTTGAGCTGATCCCGCTCGATGCTCGGGTACACCCCCGTGGCGGCGTCCAGGAACTTGGCCCGCATGTGCCGCAGCCAGGGGATGTGCTTCTTGCGCAGGTCGCGCAGGCTCCACAGGTCCCGCCGCTCCACCAGCCCCAGCAGGTGCAGCGCGTCGAGCGTCTTGCGGTCCCAGTTGAGGTCCGGCAGCAGCAGGAACCCTTCCTCCGGGTCCTGCCCGTAGGGGGTCCGGTAGATGACGTCCTCGGCCTCCTTGGTCCCCTCGATGATGTTGAACGCCCAGTTCAGCCGCCCCGCCTCCCGCTGCGCCTGCATGAACGGCCGCACATGCTCGCGGTAGATGGCCGCCGTCTCGGTCACGAACCGCACCCCCTGCTTGCTGTATTTTTTGATGTGCTTCTCGGTGCACGGCCAGATGAGGTTGATTTTGAGATCGGCGAAGTCGCTGCTGGGGTGGTGGTGGTCTTGGGTGGTGGTGTCGGCGCCGCTGTGGGCCAGGTACCAGTGGTAGATGTCGTTGGCCCCGAGGTTCGTTATGCTGCGCAGGGTGGTTGGGACGGAGCCGAGGTAGTCGGGTGAGCTGGGGAAGGGCGCGCGCTCGAGGATCAGCAGCGCGGGCTGGTCGTCGATGGCGCCGACGAGGGAGGTGCGGCGGCCCGCTTGGTCTGGGGAAGGCGTGTGTCAATACTCGATACTCGTGGTTACCCTATCTATGTCCGGGACTGGGCGTTTGGTTTTGTCTGTGTTTTGGGGGTTTGGTTGGTGGTATCTATGTATGTACCTTGGTTGAGCAACCGCTCGAATTTGAATCTCGGCACGAGTGCCTCTGCCTTTGCGTTGCTCTCGGTCATGATGGGTCGTGGAAGTGGCTGCCTTGCGTTGGGTGGATGTGTGTGTGTGATGGACCTGAGGAAAGTTCCCGGAGTGTGCCCCGCAGACCCCGCGTCGTCGCGTGCGACTCCACGCTGTGGAGCAGGGGGTTTGCAGGGCTGATGCAGGGATGATAGCCCCAACATCAATCATACCCGAGCTCTTTTGATGATTTCAATGATGGTTTTCTTAGACAAGTTTTCAGGTTCTTAAACTCGGCGGTAGCTCGACGGTGTTTGGTTGTCAGGATATTTTATTAGCATTTATTTCCCTTGCCAGTTATCGAAATCGCCCAGCCCGGAGTGAGGGTTGCCGAGTCCCGTCTGCTTCTTCACGCAACCTAGGCAGATATGGCTTGACCTCGAGACCATAAATGATATGCTTCTCTCTGATTTGGTGAGTAGTTTTATCTGAAATAACTCGGTTGAAGATCAGTAGTTGGTATACGTGCACACGAACGCTGAACGCCACTTAGGAGGTGTAGCTATATACGTAACTCAACAATTGCTTTGAGAGCGTGCGGCGTGGCATAAACAACCAGTACGTGCATAACACTCTACCTGTGAGCAAAAGTATTGCTATGCAAACGGTTCTACGAGTAACCTGCCTAGGTATATATGAAACGGAGCTGTGGCAGCGACGGTGAGGGCCGTGGTGTGTACATGGAGTGTAGATTTGGAGACTGGAGCGGTGGGGGCGCCACGCAGGGTTACTATGGTCTCGGGGCTGTGTTTGAGGAGCGTGGGGTGGTCGATAACGACATACCATCCCCAGTCTTGTACCTCCAGCCTGAGACTGAGACATTGAGATTGCCTATTATGATGGCCCATTGGTGCTCGGTACTTCTACACGACAGTGAGGAGGGTGGATGGAGTGGTCGGGGCGTGTTCAAGGCTAAGGGGTTCAGGAGAGAGCTGCAGTAAGTTGGAAAGGAGAGAAATAATGAGAGAGAGAAGACAATCAACGGCATTCGGTGATCACGAGAAGCGTCCCGTGGAAAAACCGAGTATGATCGGCCCCAGCCGGCATTCACGAAGCGGATGTTAAGCCGGAGCCGTGCCGGGGGAGGTACCCGGGAGGTTCCTTATTCGCGCGGGAGTACTAATGTAGTGTAGTAATGTAGTACTTTCGTAGCAAACCAACGGCCGCGGAAATGACGGGGGTGGAACTCGGCAACAAACAAATCATTTACATGTGAACTCCTTCTGGCCGAGCGCAGTATGTTCGATGATTGACAGCAATCTATACTATGAACCAGGCGGTGTGTTTCGAGTGCAACATCAACTTTTTCATCGACCGTCCATCCGCCGGTCCGATGCCATCCATCGACGACAAAGGGCCTGCCTGCCTGTCTGCAACCTGTCAAAGCGTCGTCCCTCCCTCGGCAGTTACCGAGCCGCCTCCATTGTGGTGATAACGGGGTATAGGAGAGACAGTATGGACACGCACATACATCCACACACCCGTAAACGGTTATGCGAGGTAGGTAAGCTACAACGGAGCTCCCTCCGCTTGCACGAACCACGCATCGCCATCATCCCACAGGGGGATTGGTACGCGAAACTCTGACGTATCCGTATTCGGGCCGGCTCGAGTTTGATGGGCCAGGACGACCAGAAACGGATGCAGTGGCCGAACCCGGTTCCCTCGGGGAGCCGCGGAGCCGCTGAGCCGGCCCCATCCACAGGGCCCCCCCCAGACAAGGGTGGCTTTGCTTTTGAGCGAGGTTGCATCGTCATGTTCTAGAATGCATGTTGGTTCGGAAGCGTGACTTGCGTGTGGTCGCACAGGCTGGGCGGCGGTCAACGCCCTGCCCTGCCATGCCCTGCCTTGTTCGTCTCTGCGTCTCTCCAGAAAGCGAGCTCTCGGTCATGTCCGTGAGGAGGGTGGCATGGCACTGCAGCATATCACTCCCTGTCTTGGCTCGGGGTTTGACTCAGCGGGCAAGGCATTGTATGTTCATCGTGTGAATCAGCGATGGTGAGCTCAACCATTTGATGTCTCAGTGTATTCTGTTCATATTTAGTGACATCCAAAAGGATAGTTGTCTCCGACAGAACAGGAAACCCTGCCTTTTCAATGTACGATGTAAATAAAGTTATACGATCCGTCATATTCTTGACTTTTGCGTTGGCCATCCTCCCATCCCATAATGAATAAGTCCTCCTAAATGTGCCAGTAAAAGACTCCCAACCCGCTCCTGCCCTGGAAATGGATGTGCTCGCTCGCTCGCTTGCTGTGTGTGTGAAAGAGAAATCCAATAATGATATGCCGGGCCCACGAGACCTGGTCTGGCCGTGTACTGACTGAAATGGTATCTCTTCCTCGCCGACTCCCCTGTAAAGCACCCACACCCCATTGCTCGCATCTTTCCGTAAACCCCGGGAGGTAGCCATCCGTCCTGTGCAACGCAGCACGGCCCTAAACGGCTGTCCACCGCGGCAGCCGTATCGTACTCCGGCCACCTGCATACCCGCGAAAAAACTCTCCGCTTCCCGACTTCTTTCCCACCCTCACCGCATGTTCCTCGTAACTCTTCCACACCAGCTTCGGAAATGTCTTCCACATCCAATATCTTGGAACCCCCTCGTCCACCTCCAACGGGCCAGACGCGGCAGCCAGGGCCGAAACAGCAGGCGGGGGGCCGCCGGCGCTACCCGGCTTATTGACATCCCTGCGCATGCTCTGGGGGCGATAGCTCCGGCCCTTCATGCCATCATCCTCGGCCAGCTTGAGCAGAGCGCCGGGGTCCTCGCGCTCGACGCGGGCCATCTCCTTGTCGGCGAGGTCCTTGGTCTCAGCCAGGCGGCGCTTGATGTTGGCGACCTCCTCGCCGCAGTCGCCGTCGCGCAAGAACTGGTGCGCGCCGTGCTCGCACATGCTCTGCACGTACTCGAGGCCCTTGTCCAGCTCGTCGTAGACGTCCGGCGGCGCCGGCTTGCCGTCCGCCCCGAGTATGTTGCCCGGTCCGCCCCCGCGGCTCATCATCCGCCCGCCGGCGCGCGAGTACATGTTGCGGGTTGCGCCGGGCCCCGCGCCCATGCGGCGGGTGCTGACGTAGAGGAGGGGGGGTTCTTCGTCTTCTGTTGTTGTTTGACCGGGTTTCGCGGCGGCGGACGGTGCGACGGCGATGGGGGTGTTCTCAAGCGACGTTCCGACCTCGATAGGCGCGTCGTCGTCGTCGGGGCTCTCGAGCTCGGCGAGGCGTTTGATCTGGGCTACTTTGGCCGCCATCTTGGCCTTGCGCATCATATTGCGGCCGGCGCTCACAAACTTGACGAGCTCCTCGAAAAACATTTGTACGTAGCTGTCGTAGTAGACGATGATCATGCTCCGGGTACGGTATTTCGGCGCCGCACCCTCCGCGCTGATGACCGAGTCTGTGCGCTGTCGCTTGCGGAGTGTCGCGCGTGCCCGTGCCTGGCCGGCTGCGCGCATCTGGCTCGCCTGGCGTTGCAGGGCTGATGGTGATTGCGACTCGGAAGGACTGGGCGGTGACGGCTGCTCGGTGCTGGCCTTCGCTGCTGCGGCGCCGGCCGCGGCCGCGGCTGCCGCCTCAGTGGCATTGTTGGCATCGGACGGTGCTACCGGGTCGCGAGGATGGGCTTCGGGCTCGTCGCGTGGCCTGAGAGATTCGGTCGACCCCTTGTTCCGCACTGATTTTGTGCGGCATGATGCTGTCCCGGGAGACCTCGCTTTATTCTCTCCGGTCAGCTTCGCCAATTCAATTTGGCGCTGTTCGATCTGGCCGTTCAGCTCGTCCAGCTTCTTGAGCCAGTCCGGCACGTTGGTGATCAAGTTCTTGAGGGCGTCCATGGCGAGATCCTCCTCCTCTCCAGGAAGAGCGACCCCTCTGCGTAGGTATGCCGTGTTGGGCAAACGCGGGTGCGTGCGTCGCTAGGCGGGCACGCACCTAACGCGAACACGCTGGTCGGCGGGTGTTTATACTGTGTTTGATGCCCTGGTGCAAGGGGCCGTGGCAATGCTTGCAAGCAATGGGTCGCGTCGTCGGGGGAGGGTCGTTCGAACGCGAGCAACGATGCGAGTTTGCGTGTCGATGTCGAGCTTCAAAAATGTTTCGCGGAGGCCAAGTCGTGGTTAGTTAACCAAACCAGGTCGTCACTTCGCCCACAGGAAAATAAAGGGCGGGCGGTTGGTTGGTAATATGGAAGCGGAAATCGATGCAACAACGGGCGAGAAGTGGAATTCGACCAAGGCTAATAGTCTCCGAGCTCCCCGGGATTCTGCGTGATGTCGATGTGTTGGGGGCGTGAGATGTCGGGCTTCTGCCGGAGCGGAGACTTTCTTTCTACTGTTTGCTGGCTGGGCTGCTGCTTGAGGAAATGCTAGGTAAAACCCCAAATGGGCTTTCTCGGTGGCTGTCGCGTGGGATTGGGTTGCGGCCAGAATGCGGCCCAGGGGATGCTAGCGCCGCCGAGCGGGTTTGATCCGCAGCTAAAAACCGGGGGTCGCCTGCCGTCGAGTTTCCTCGGCCAGGATGTGCCTGCCTTCCTGCCTTCTTCGTTCTTCGCTTCCTGCCCAAAACACAGAGCTCTCGGTGAGCACCAGATACCAGGTAGGATTTTCAACAATCTGTGGGGGGCCGCTCAAACAACAAATTTCGGGGTCCAGCCTGGGTAAGTAAGGCAGGTGAGGTTCTTCGGTTCTCCTTCTCGACAATCTGCCAGAGGTTAGGTGGCCGGGTGGGAGAGACGAGCTTTAGCCGTTTGTCGAGAAAAGAGGAGGGAGTGCAGCATCTTGTCAGCACCACAGACATCTCGCATATACATAGCCACTAAAAGAAAACAACAAGAAAAAAACGCCGCCCTTCTCTGGCGATTAGCGGTTTGTGGCTTACGGCTCACGGGCAGCTCCGGCCGCATTCGCTCTACTTTCGTCCGGCCCCGCGCCTGGGCTTGCTGCTGCACCTGCAGCTCTTCTGCATGCCGATCACGACGAGTCTTAAAAACGGCATTATTAGGTGCGGCCCCCTGTCCCGTCTTTCCACTCGACCCTCGCCTCGTCGTTTTGTCAACGCGCATCGGACGCTCCTGGTTCGGCCGTTCGCTTTCCTTCCGGGGGTACATACAACTAGGTTAACTAGGGTAGTCGATACGAACAGTTCACGTTTGCTTCCTGCTAAGCAGTCATGTCGTTATGTCTCGCAGTTTATTCTCGGACCTGCAGCAACCCGCCCACACGCCGATAGGAGGTATTTGCCCGGCCGAAACCTCCGAACATTCACGGGGGTAGCACTGAGCTCAAAGTAATCTATCTATCTGCAACTATGTCTGTCCGTACATGTATGTGGATACTAACTCCATGGACCTACGCGCCCTCGCCATCTGCACATTGGAATTTTGAGTTTCCGCAGAGGAAACCAAGTATGTGTGCGGCGACAAGGGCGGGCCGTTCAAGGGCGGTCTGCACAATCATGAAGAGAGCGGGGGTCAACCTCTCTCGGCTGCAGGCCGCAGGGCGGAGGAGGAGGGGCGGTTGTCTGCAGGCGCGGGAACTGGCTCCTCGATCCGGCGTATCATCCGCCGCCGGTTGCGGGCTGTCTCAGTTGTTTCGCAAGTGGCTGGCTGGCGTTGACCTGGGGTTGACTTCAACCCGCACCAACAACACATCCAAGTAAGTACATACATACACATACAATACATATGGACACTCGCCGAGCAAACGCCAAAGACAGGGTTGGCAAGTAACCTCGCACCGAGAAGACCGCCCAACCAGTTTTGGCCCTCGGTTATGTTAGTATGCTGGCGAAGTGCATACATCCCTCCATACCCCCCTCCGATCTTGAGATGGCAAACTCCTCGGACCGTTCTGTCAATGCAGGAATCCGAATCCATCTCGTCCTAGCGCGGGAATGCGGAGGACGTGACATCGGCTCTGAGGGGCGGCGCCACAGCCGGCAAGCATGAATAACCTCGCAGCAACCGTGCGGGTGATCCAAGGCCAGCTGGCAAGTGGCCGCCTAGGCTACTGGGCTAGTGGCCGTTCCGATGGAGGCTCGGTCCGCGCTGGGCCATGACACGACGATCCAGATCTCCGCGCGGCGTTGCGGCGCGGCAGGCTTTCCCGTTGTCTCTGAAAACGCCCGTTGCGTCACTGATCGTCTAGGGACCGGGACGCATAAACGCTGTGACACCAGGCCAAGATTCGTCCTCTGGCTACTCAGCGTTTATTTGACAGGATACGATTGTGTAACGTCGTTTTTGCAATAGTTAATCATCGACAACGCTGTTGGAAGAAGGCCTTTGCATAACTGCCAATGCACCACCTACACAACCAGGCTGAAATTGCTCTTGTTGGTCCTGCCATTCCACAAGCGAGTGCTCCTTGAATATGTAAGATGTCGGCAATGGCTGTCCAAGAGGACCTAGAACGCCGTTGTTTGCAACACTCCGCCCCGGAGTTCTCCACTGATATCCACGGCTAAGTGTCAGGGCGGCCAAATACCTCAAAAGAGTCAACATGAGACGATACTAGCCATCGCTAAGCTCATATCACGCTGCGAGCTGCGGATGCTGCTGTCACCGTGCACCCCGTTCCGAAGTTGTCTGATACTCGTGCGTTCTCGCAATCCTACCTCGAAACAGCCTCGGTTTGGAGAGCACCAAGTCCTCACGTGTCGGTGGTTGATCTCTCGGCAGCTGAATGTAACTATCGTTACACAGTCGTGGTCACTGTTGGCCAAGTCCGGCATAAAAGCCACACACTCTTGTAGCTCCATTGCCTGATTTGTGTTGGAAAACAGCCAAATCCTCCATTCTCGGCGGATATATCTCAACTTTGAGCCGTTTCCTTGCCGTCTAGGAAGATCCTTGCAGGGAAAACAAGCCTCCACAGCGGATCTCAACGGCGGTCCATCCGCATTTAGCCCATCCATGTGGCCATGTTGGCTCGCCGCGCCCACAATTCGATGTGTCACTCTTTATTTCGGAGGTTGCAACCATCGATTCAAACACCCAGAATCTCGATCACGTCGACCGAGCATCTCTTCCTCAACACCTCTTGTCATTGCGGCCGTCCCCAGCCAACCATCGAAAACCACCCTCCCTGGGGACCAACCACGTTAAGACTTGCCCGATACGGCAGCCAATGTGCGGGATGTGCAATGTTGCAGGGGGAGGAAAAAGGCTGCAGTTGGAAGGACATTGCTGCCGCCTCGCCAATCTCCATCTCATCTCTATCCGCAGCGTGATCATGAGGTAAAAAAAAAAAAAAAAAAATTAGAAAACTGAAACAGATGAAGGGGACAGTCACACAAAGCCGCTCTGCAGCGGAGCACCAGCAGCAGCAGCAGCAGCAGCAGCAGTATCACCACCTTGCCTCCACCAACCATGGAGCTTCCACGGCCCAAGACAATTATAGCAGGGCCGAAGCAACCCCGGCTTTCATCCAGAGTGGGAAATCTGCATTCGCTAACCGCAATCGTCGATATTCAATCAAGATTGCCGCTGCCTGCCGCGTGCCGGCCGGCCGCCGCCCTGCTTGCCTGCTTGCCTGCCACCTCTCCCCCTCCCCCCTGCGCTTCCCCCATGCTGTTCGAGCCTGTGTCTTCTGATGAGAGTGGAAGTTGCTCCGTCTGACAAACCGGCCAACAAGTCTCCGCAACCAAAGAAGATCTGTTGCTTTGCATGCGAGGTCTTCCTCGATGCCCAGCAGGAGACTTCCTTCCTCTGGGGGGAGGGGCCCGTGTCAAACGCGTGAATGCCCGTCCGTCCGTACCCTGCCGTGGTCGGCTGCTCCATATGGCCCGTGCTCCGCTTCGATTCCCTTTTGCCCGTCACTGTGATCATCGCAAACACGACCGAGTTGAGCAATGTTTTCGGCCCCCCGCGGGGGGAATCGGCACATGTTTACGAGGGGCCCGGGGAGGCCGGGGTAGTATGGACATCCACAGCTTGTTCGTCGGAGCGGCCCATTCACCCTCGCAAAAGTCGACGAAGAATAATAAGCCAGCAAAAAGCCCGGGGTTGACTTTGCCTTTCCGTCCATTGACAGGCGTGGCACGTGGGAAAAAGGACGGGGTGGTTGAACGAAGAATGGCACTGGGGCTGGGCGTGCTGGCGTGCCACCTTCAACCCGCAGCTTTGTGCGACCTCGATCCCATATTAATCGGCGACCTTGCCCAACGTTGGACGCCGGGCGACCGTTGAGCTGCCGTCAGCGTCGACAAGGGGGCCCGCAATACAACGCACGTCATGTGTCCTGGTGCGGGAAAGCTTTGTCAAGGATTAATCAGGACCTTGTGTGACAGGTCAAGAAGATGAAGAAGAACCCTGGGGATTGGCAAGCTCGCAGGCCATTCGGAATGAACCCAGTTGAGGTCTGCTTGTCACGTTCGATCTGAGCAGATAAACGGGCCAACCATTCAACGGATTTGACACTGGACAGACGGCCAAACAACGTCGATGAAAAAGAGAAAAAAAAGACGGACATGTCGACAGCCAACCAGAGAAAGTTCTCTGCATTGATTGCTGCAAAACGCTTCAAAAGAGCTAGACCGGGCTTGGCACCTGGGCGGCACAGGGATGACCAGTCCACCACATCAGGCGCTTGACAGGGCTGCCATGTGTCCCCCATCGACGTGTCCTTTTTGTCTCAACCAGCCGACAGCCCACTCGCAAGGCGAAGGAATCACAGCCTGTTCTCGCACGGCACAAAACCGGCGAGCAGCCGGTTAATCTCGACAGCGGCCGGACAGGCAACCCCCCCTAATTGGCTCGGACCTGCTTCCGCCGTTTCCTGCTGCTGCTGCAAGTGCCCGCCGCAGAAAGGCGGTCAAGCTAAGCAAGCTCCAGCGGCTTCTCCTCACGAAGCCAGCCCCAGCGCCCCCACCACCGTTTTGATCTTGGTCTTCTCTGCTTTCCCCCAGTTGACGCTCTTGAGTGCCTGCGCGGCGGGGTCGTCGTGGAGGAGGCCCCAGAGCTCGTCGACGACCGTGTTTTTGACTCGAGGCCAAGGGTGGAACATGAGGGCGCCGAGCCGGGTGCAGGCCTCTCGGATGCCGTCCTGTTTCTTCAACAGCAGATCATCATCATCATCACTTCCGCCCCCAACGGCAGTTGGTGCAGGACCCGGCTCTCGGCCGAGTTCCGCGATAGCCCCGTAAACCCTGATACATGCCTCGATCTTGCGGACGTTGCCGGTCTTGTAGCATGCCTTCTGAACCTGCAGGCACAGGCTCTTGTAGTTGACCCCGCGGCACTCAGCAAAGATGCCGACGTGGAACAGGAAGGCGACCACCTCGAGCGTCGGGACAAGTACCCGATCTGTCCCTTGCCAGATCTTGAGGTTCCGGACCAGAGCAGTGCACACCAAACCTCTGGCTTCGGGCGACCGCTCGCAGAACTCGCACAGCGCGGCGCGAGTGGCAATGACCAGCTCTTCGTTTCCTGTGTCGGCAGACGACACAATGCCGGCCATCAGGGCCTCCGTCCATTTCTCTGCATCCTCTTTTACTTTCAGTGCCGCAGGGTGTAGCCAGTCTTGATCAAGCAAATCAAGGAGGAAAATGAAGTACGCCTTGGACGAGAATGTCGACCTGCGTAATATCGCTGCTTGACTGGTGACGGTTAGCGGATCCTCAGCACCACGAGAGAGCCACTTACCTGGGTTTCAAGGCAACAGCAAGCGCTGCCTGTGCCTCGGCTCTGACTCTGTCCAACTTCTCTGCCGCTAATCGCAGGATACGTAAAAACAGCTCCGACACTAGCTTTGCCGTCATGTCCGATTCCCCGTCTAGCCTTTCCCAGAGTGACTTCGTCGCCCGGATCGCTTCATACCGGACAAGAGACCCGACATCACCCCGTGCAGTCGTCGTATAATCATCCAGGCCCTCAGCCACAAGCGGGAGAAATACCCCAGTGTTCTGCCTGAGGAGATCGCTGCCTGTCAAACTCTGGAGTATGCACGCTCGGGTATCTGTCCAGACGTCGTTTTTCCAGCGCTCCATGATGGCGTCGCAGATGAGCGTCTTGTCCTGCTCTGGCGCCAGGGTCGACGCCATCGGGTATACGGCGGCTAGCGCGGAGAAATGACCGCTTGTCGTGCGTGTCTTGGACGACTGGCGTTCACGGGCGGCGTCGGCCCACCCTCGGATGGCCTCGTCCCGCTCAGTGTTGCTGCAGAAAATCATGAAGACAACCGCGGCCTCGGACGCCGCGGTGATGATGTCTAATTCTGGCCAGACAAGCCATTTCTGGAGATTGGACCGAGTGAGAGCGACGAAGGTGCTCAACTTCTCCGTCCTATCACCCACCGATCCCACCAGCGCCGCCAGCTCGGCACCGCTTTTAGACATTAGTGAGCGCCCAGGCAGCAAAGTGCAGTCGGCGGATGTAGCTGCCTGGAGCACCGGGAACGATGAAATGATTAGTCGGCTTGCCGCTTCTGCAATAAGTTCCGGTTTGCGGTAGGTCTTCGTGTCGCAGTCCTTGAGGATACCGAGCAACGCATCTAGCGAGAGCTGGACGAGCTCATTAAAGATTGCCGTTTTTTGCGCCCCGACAGCAACGGAAGGCAGGGCATCAAGAACCGCGGCGAGACTAGAAAATAAGCCGTGCCTCTCTTCGACTTGCCGAGCTTCGAGTGATTTGATGCGATCCAATACCAGTGAAACGGACTGTGTTAGGCGTTGGAGAGGGGCAGCGGTTCCTACAGACAACTCTGCAGTAATCATACCGTAGGAAGCACCTGCAGCTCGTCGTGAAGCGGCATCGGCATCGCCGACCCCTCTCCAGTCCAGCAGGCCATCCAATATGGCCTCGCCATACTGCCCCGAGAGTTTGGTCACACCCAAGGCAACATCTTGGAGCGCCCTAGACCTCAGGGCCACTGCATGGTAGTCGACAGTTTGGACAACCCAAATGCCCTTCTCAACGGTGTCGGGGTGGCGCCCGATGAGCTCCTGTAACGCAGCTGACGAGCCCCGCCTTATGTTTCCTGACGGATCCAAACAGGCGGCGGTAACGAGGCTAGTAGCGATGACCTGTAAGATTGAAGTCCCTGGGCGTACATCTGTAGTCATATACATGGCCGGGACTGCCAGCAGCTCCGCCGTGGTGTATCGTCTAGCGAGCGCCCAAGTACCGAAGCATGCTGCGTCCCGCACGTTTGCGCCCGTAGAGCTTCCTGAAGCATTTCGCCTTTCGAACGACAGGCCCATGAGCAGGGCATGCACGATGTCTGCAAGGGTCTCGGCTGGCGGAGAACGCCGGTAAAGAAGGTGAGAGAGCGTAAGCATGAGGCCGTGCCACTCCAAGGGGTCGACCATGCTGAGGTCTTTCTTGGACGTCGCCAGTGAGTCTTTGGGGTCCTTGACACGCAGGACATTCCGGTTTAGAGACTCAAGGACGGCTTCGACCACCTGGGAGGCCATATCTTCTTCCAGCTTGAGCGTGATAACACCGAGAGCCTTGCTAGCTGCAAAACGAACTGGCGTGTCGTTGTCTGCCAGGCTCTCCAAAAGAAACCCAATGGTGGTTTCGACAATCTCCATGCGTTCCATGTCCTGCGGGTTTCGGAGAATGAGAACGACCACTGCCCGGATGACTTTGATCATGGTCTTGCGAGCCAGAGCCGACGCCATCCTAGACCCCGCCGCTTTCTCTCCTTCCGACGCTATCCCATGCACGGCGTGGAAGATCGTAATCAAGTACCGATCCATATCCGACGTATCCGCAGACGACGCCAAAATGCCCGCCAAAAACGACAGCACCCCAATATAATGATACGGCGTCCTCTCTACCGCGCCCTCCGACCGCAGCGCGCCCAGCGCCCAGCGCACCAGGGCATCCAACACCCCCAGCCGCTGCATATCCCTGCGCATCGCAATCCGCACCAGCAGCGCCTTGGACGCGTCGCGCTCCTTACCCGGCGACGCCAGGTACTTGATAGCCAGCGGCACGATGCGCGTCGTGATGCTCGGCAGTCCCGCAGCAGACCACGCCAACCCCTCCACTTTCGCCGCCTCCTCCGCCTCCTCCTCCATCTCCTGCGACGACATGCTCGCCAGGTCAAACGGCGCCAGCATCAGATGCGACAGCCACAGCAGCGCCACGTAACGCTCCTCCCACGTCCATAACACACCACCACAACTACTACCCCCACCGGCACCACCAACAACCACCTCATCAGCGCCACTCCCCCCCCCTCCCAAATCCCCCCTCCTCTCGGCCCCCTCCAACGCCGCGAGTAACAGCTCCAAATGACGAGCCTCATTACTCAGAAAGCGCACGACGACCTTCTCGCCACGGATTTTGCAGAAGGTGTACAGCAGCTTGCAGATGGCGCGGGGCAGGGGCATGAGTAGGTCTGAGGCGGCGGCGGGCCCGCGGTTGTTGCGCTGGATGTTGTTCTGGCGGCGGTGGTTCTGGTAGTACTCGATATAGGCGTCGCCTAGGATGGGGAGCCAGGTGGGGAGGTGGGGGTCGAGGAGTTGGGGGAGTTCTTGGAAGGGGTCGAGGAGCTGTGGTGGGGGGCGGGGTTAGTTTTGGGTAGCTTTTTTTTTTTTTTTTTTCGGTTGTTTTGAGGGGGACGGAGGGATGGGAGGGGGGTTGTAAAGTGTTGTAGATAAAGTAGCTGATGGGCAGCGAGTAGTAGGAGGCGGACTTACTGAGGAGATGAGGCGTTCAGTTTCACGGGCTCGCACGCGCGACCGCACGGAGGCGGTTCCGCCTGCGCCATCTGGTTTTCTGAGAAATGGGCGGAGTGACTTGTCGAAATCTACGATAAGATCCCCTGAGATCTTTTGGAGTTTTATATCAAGATCGTCTTCAGGGGCGTCCATGGTGGCGAGTCAGAAGTTGAAGGATGTTGATGAGTTGAAGTTTGAGAGTGGGTCTGTGTTTCGTGAGGTTGAGGCTTGATTGGGAAGTCATGATGTCCCTCCCCCTCAACATCAGGCACCAGCGCAGTTTCTTGCCAGTTTCAACAAACACATCTCACACGCAAAGTTATTATAACTGCAAACTAAATGTAACTTTATTAAGCAACGCTTGTCCATTATCGTTATACCGGGTATCTATATTACTTCGTTCCATGATCGGTCCCTAACATCTCCTCCCCTGCTCTCTCGAATCTAAACATCGAATTTAAACACCAATAGCCAGGGCCGCGACAATCACATCCATCGCCGAGCTATGAGTCGAAGCATTCGGCCCGTCGCCCAGATCCGGCGGCCCCGTCCATTTAATACCCAGCTGGTTCTTGCTGTTCCGGTCCTTCGACCAGATCGAGTTGGCGTTCTTCTGGATCGCCGTCCGGAACGCGTCCTGCGGCGCCGCTTTGTGCAAATAATGCAGGTTTCGCACAAAGATGCCCTTAAACTGGCTGCCGTCAGCACCGCAATTTGGCTCGCACTTGTCCACCTCCCGGATGATGCCGTTCTCGTCGCTGAGGAGTACAATGGCCGCCTTGGCGATGGTGGCGGCTTGGTTGAGGTACGATGAATCTCCGGTTGCTTTGGACAGCTCGGCCAGTCCGCCCAACACCACCCCCTGGTTGTACGACCAGGTCCTCATGCCGTTGTTGACGCAGCTGCCATCCGAGTTGATCTTGAGGCCGTCGTTGATGAGGTTGTTCTTGTTGATCATGCCGCTTTTCTTAAACCACGCCCACTGGTCCTTGGCGATCTGGGTGTACTCTGCCTTCCTGCTCGAGATGCGGTTTGCGAGGCTGGCCGCCACGCTGAGGTAGAGCTCGTTGGCGATGGCATTTTTGTACGACTTTTCCTTGCTCCACCAGAGGCCGCCACCGCACGTACCGTCTGTACCGGCTTGCATGTCCCTGAAGATGTGCTCGGCCATGTTGAGGTAAGCTTGCTCGTGCGTCACATCCCACGACCTGATCAATGCGAGCGCCCACCAACCCTCGTCGTCGTAGTAGTCGTTGAGGAACTCGGAGAAGCCTCGTTTGCTCGCCGCCTGGAATTGGTAGGATGAGTTGGTCAGGCCTGTGGCGGAGAGCGTCTTTTGGGCCGTGACAGACACTCGCTGTGCTCCGCCGTACGTGTTGGATATGATGCCACGGACATCTAGATTCTGGGCGGCAGATCCAGCATTTAACGCCCAGTCGGTGAGGACGGTGAGGCAGTTTGCGCTGTTCCACCAGCCCGTGGTTTTCCAAAGCCCAGACGGTGAATCGTACCATCCTTGGAGTGCCTTGGCCGCTTCCAGAGAATTGTCGGCCGAAGCTCTTTCAGCATGTTGGCCTCGTATGGACATTAGGTAAACAGCACGAGCGGCAAGGTCGCCTCATCGTAGGAGACCATTTTGGATCGTTTGTTGCAGAATGGGGATGCGCAACTGAGCCGGATGGTCGAGGAAAGACGGCATAAATAGGACCTCGCGGTAAGGAACCTGACAGCAACGTAGCCTAAGGTAACGGTAAAGTAGAGATGAATGACCCTTCAGGAGGCGCCATGTTCAATGACCACATAGCCACGTCCAACAGCACACTGGGGTCCGGATGTCGCCTCACGTCCCGAAAAGGAAGCTATTACACCTATAGTGCCCTCTGATATGCCATCCAGCATGCTTATCCCTGCATTGGCTGAGACAGCCCTATCACAAGCCAGCATAAAGGTCGCCCCTTTGCGGCCCAAATTGCTGCTTGAACAACACCGTCAGGGGTAAGAACGGTTGGTAAAGCGCTTCACGCTGAATAGCCGCCTTGGTGGCCAGGGGGTTGACCATAGGAGAATAAACAGCCGATCCGACCCGTCCAACCACAGAGGTTGGAACAGCCGCGTACGGTGCCCAATATTCATGTAGTGATCAATAAAACACCGTCTACGATGCATATGTAGTTCCCTGATCGCCCATGCAAAGAGTCAGGTGGGATATCTAATTGGCAATGAAGTTGCTCTTGTGCCAACCTCGTGGATGTTGCGTACCATTCCCTCGCTGATGAAGGGTTGCGCATGGGGGGACGCATGACTGCCCAGCCCCCATGCTGGGACCAACTGTTCCAGCTGTGGAGATCGGGGCATGGAGCTGTCAACGTTACGCTCAATGTCGTTGCACGAGAGATCGGTAGCCTCGTCCCAAACTGGAAATCACCTTACAGCTCCAGGTAGGGAGGTCGGTATTTCGGTGCCTAGCTACCCCGCCATCAGCTGTGGTATTCCATGGCAGAAAAAAAGGCCGAACTGGAAGGGGGAGCAAGAAAGCAAGAAAGCAAGAAAGCAAGAAAGGAAAAAGCAGTAAGTAAATGAAACAGAGTCAAATAAAAAAAACAAGACTTTTATTTTGAGAGAGTTAGTTTTGTCGAGGTGAGTGGGTGAGTCAACAGCCATAGAGGAATTGGAAAAGTACCTGCGCGTGGCGTGGAGACCGGGTCCTTGGAGTTTGAAGACGGGGCTGAACGACGCCCAACCAACTCAACGTTCACATGCCCACACATTTCCGATGGCAATCCGGCCTTTCTAGGCAGGGAAAGCGATTCGAGTCTCAAGTCTGCCCCCCAATAGATATGTAGTTACCGTCCAATTTGGATGACACTCTGTTGCCTGCTTTGAGACTGCAAACAGTTTCGAATGCCCAAGGAAATGCAGAAAGAGTTATAAAATAGGGTCGGGGGATGGCCACTTGCGTATCCCCAAGCTGCCCTTCACCTGGCTACTCAACCAGGCCTGGGATCCTGATGTAACGAGCCATCAGGATTTCGCCCTGCTGTAGGATACAGCGATGTATCTCCACCGCAGAGCACACCGTCCATATGAATCCTGCCAGCGATTTTGTGTCGCATGTTGGACAACCATCCGGATCGATGTCTTAAACCCCGCAGAGAAGGCGAATGACTGACACTGCATTGGGAAGCAGTTGGTCTTTCGTCATCGGTGCGACAGAAGAATCGCGGAGTAGATCCAACGTGGCAAAGTGCCGATGCCGTCTCAGACCGTACTCGTAAAGATCACCGCATCCTTGGTGAGGAGGTCATTTGAGGACCTCGAGAGGACCTTGCCGTCCAGCCGTCTTGCAAACTTGGCCGATCTGGTCCCAACAACGGGCTGATCGGCGGCCACATATTGCCGGGCGCAAGTGCAGGATTGATGATCAAGCGTGAAGTGGAAAAACGATCTTTAGGCGCGGATTTTGTAGCAATGATGTTGTATACCTTGGTCGGTGAGATTGTTGGAGTTGCGATGGGAAAAGGGACCTGCCTACCTAGGTGGCCTGGAAGTGGTGAAGGCGCTGCGCTGTCAATGTGGAGCCTTCGGAAGATGGAACACCTCTCTTGAGTCGTGCACGAGCCATCGAAGATTTGCGTGGAGGCTGCAGTCCCGTGGGGACTGCTGAGATTTGAGGGTCTGGGGGAGTCCAAGCTCCAGCTGGACCCCGCAACTGCCCCGCAATCTGCTCACCAGCCCCACTAGAGCTGCCGAATTCCTTGCAATTTCCGATGTGGTTTCTTTCAACCATCAACAACCGACCACAACTCACCGAGCTCGACAATCAACGATGACAGCACGGGCCGCTTGCCGATGCAATGTGATGGCAATCCGTTTACGGTTTCAGCTTTAGTTGGTGTAGGAATAGGCACCAGCGTCGAGTCGCCCATTTCCCTTGGATGCTTCGTCGATACGGGGTTGGTTTGATTGACTGTCTCCAGATTTCACGCCCAGCACGTGTCGCAAGCTGGGTTAGCGGCGGTGTTTATTCGGTCCTCCTCGACGATGGCATCGCAATCACACTGAGTCGCCGCGGGCCTTTGTCGGTCCGAAATAACTCGAGACACAAGCCTTGGCGATTTGAGGACCCGAATGGCATGGCGAGACAGACCAAATCCCATCACCCGAACCTTTACCGGGTGTGGGATGGACGCTGGAAGATACGCCGCTCTGAACAATTTTTGGCATCGCATAACTTAACGACAACGTGGTCGGATGAGATGGGCTTTCCCTGCAAAGCTCGCACGAGATTTTACAAAAACAACTCCCCATGTTTGTCTTCACGATATCGTGAGCCCCCGATGGTCGTGGGCCATCAAATTAGCCATATTTTGGGGAAACGAAGCCAGTCCAAACTCTCGCAATGTCAGCCCGCGGCAAGGGAAATGGTGTGCCTCGTTTGGGCATTGGAAGGCCATCATCAAGCACAACACTAGCGAGTAGTTTGATTCGCCGCGCAACGACTTCTGTGAGTCACATCTCGGCCGTTTCGAGGCAATATTTTCTCCCTCCTTTTAAATGATTTCCTGCGCCGACGACTACTTGCCCGGAACAAGCGTTGAATGGGCCGGTGGCCCGGTATTGACGACTCGACGGAGACCGCTGACTTTCAGGCCGATTTCACCGCGGCCCGTTGCAATTGGTGATATCACAGAGCCAACCGTCGCGCTTTTCGCGGCCTCAACTGTCGAACACGTCTCATGCATATCACGATCCCCTAATTTCTTAGGTAGCTCGGCGTTGCGTTGCAACGGCCGGCGCGGAGGTTGAGCCCGTCTTGGCGCACCCGACTAGCCGGGGAACTGGCGCCGTGTCAAATAAACCATCACATAATTTGCGTCAATTGTTGGTATTGTTGGGTCTTAGCGTTGCTGGTTACGCGCGGCACACTGAATTGGAGACCCGCACCGGGCAATGTCAACACCGCAGAGACACGTATTTCCCGTGCAGGTCCATATGCTTTCATTTAGCAATTGGCCGTGCGCTCCTGATTCTCTCCGTTCCGGCTAGGGACCGCCGGCTCCTCCGGGACCCCCCGCGCTAGAACCTCGGTAGATCCGGAGGGCGTCGGCCCTGTGAGGCTCGACTTGCCAAGATGCAGGCCCGGGCGGATCGGGGCTAGCGCATATGTGATCCTCACAAGAGTCTGGTCTAGCGGGTGGGACGCGACGCCACATGCGTGCATCGTGACAGGAGATGCTTCGCGCATGCCTGTTTCAGATACAGTCGGCACTAGCAATGCCAGGGACTAGCGTGACGGGAGATCGATCAGAGCAGCGGCGCAGCAGATTCGAGAAGGGTGTCCGAAGCATAGGGCCGTAACCCGAGGCCAGCACCCACCCACTCTGCAGTTTGTCTGGCACCAGACCGGCCCTCACCGCCCAATAGTCAAGTTCACGGCTTCACCGCATACAGGCCTTCGGAAGGAGGCTGAACGGTGCCAACAAACCAGATACGTCGCACGGCAATGCCATGACCAATACGGCCGTACTGTACAACAAGTACATACCCTTCAGTTTGAGGCGCGCAAACAACCGGGCTGTTGACGCTGGCTGGTCGGCAATCACTGGCGGTGACAGCAAAACTAAATTGGATGTACTTCGTACCCGAAGTAGCAGCCTTCCTTATCCGCTTGTCGGATCTTGCTCTAGCATCTTATGCAAAAAAAAAAAAAAAAAAAAAAACAGTGACGAAATCACTTAAGTTCTCTCTCTCTCTTTCGCGGGACAGTCGACACACCCAAAATCAACACGCCCAAACAGGAGACATCAAACCGCGCTTACAAGCCCGCCAATCACCGCCCGCCGATTCGTGCAGGCGTCTGAATCGGGCAGTCAAGAAAACGGCCCCAGCCCATCTCGGCCCAACCGGCAGACAGCCCGCACCCCCCTAGTCCAACGGAGCGAATCTCGTCCGAATCGGATCGTGTTTGTGCGACGGCACACAAAACCACATGCATGCACACCTGAGAAGAAGAAGAAAAAAAAGATCAAGAAGAAAGAGGAAAGCAAAAGAATAAGCCAAGCACGCCGTCCGGTAACACCGAGACATACCCGCCCGGGTTGGGAGGTTCCCAAATTTCGATTATCTGTCGAGCAGTGGGTTAGGTTAAGCCTCTTGGAGACGGCGTGGTGTTGTTCGGGACCGTTGCACGGGGGTCTCGGCACCGGCCGTCGGTCTGGTGCAAGGGCCGAACTGATCTGATGAGCAGGGTCTCTCTCTTTTCTTTTTTTTTGTCTGGTCTTGTCTTGCCTTGCCCATGTCTGCCTATCTGCCTATGTATCTGCCTAAGGTTTCCAGATTACGGTTTAGATGAAGAGATCTCAAAAAATTAATCTTACGATAGTTTAGCGTCTTCGCCCTCGCCAGGGTGTGTGGGGCAGGTTGGGGATGGATGGGTGGATTGGAGGGCACACGAGAAAAAACCGTTGAGAATGCCATGGCACCCCGGCAGCCTTACATTCAATTTCCGTGTGTTGTTTTCTTGTGGTGGTGACGTATGTCCGTCCATCCATCCATACACCCATACACCCATACACCCATACATCTCGGTGTGCCTGGCTGGCAACGATTGCCAGCGGGGTACCGACTGCACATGGCTGAAAGAAGTAATCGAGATCTTCTGGCTGCGGCCATCCGAGTGTTGGGTTGAGTGTTAGGGGTTTGGAGGGTTTGCTGGCTGGCATTATGCCGACGCAGGCAGATTGAGTGAGCCGGATGTTGGGCACGGCACTGTCTAAGGGGAAGTTGGGGTGGCACAAATTGGCAGCTCTGTTTTCTCGCTGCGGTCTCTCTTTCTGTCTCGCCAAGTTGTGATATTTGGAGATTGGCGAGTGGTTCTGTCTGTAAGTAGCCTAGAGGTTGCGGCAATCCGTGACTGAATGCGGAAAAGCAATACCCGAAACCGAAAAAGCAAACATAGAGAAGGGGGGAAAATAGGTGTGAGAAGTGAGCCAGCACAAACAGTTTTCCATTCTTTCCCGTCTTCGTTCCCGCGTTAACACCGTTTTGTTTTCTTCATAATACCTGTAACCGACCACCTTTTTCCCCCTTGCCGCTTCCCCGCGCAATTTTCCTTCCCCCCTGTAGCCCAACTCCATGTCTGAGCCCATACCAACCGGTGGCCTCCACGCGTGATGAACCCCCTTCCAGTCTATCCCAGTCGCGGCGCACGCCGAACCCAAGCCAAAAGTGTATCAAAGAAAACAAGGAAAACAATCAACATGAACGAAGGAAAGTAAAACACTGTGAACCCGAACCTATCTATCAAAACTCCTCGTCCGTGGCAAGCCAAAACACAAAGGAAATGGTGCGGTTGTACTGTGTAAGCGAGCGTGGCCCTGCCGTCGGTCGCAAACCCCGGTAGCGTAACGTTGTGTAATGTCGGAGCGCAGGGATGGATGGGGGTAAAAAGTACCGAGCATCTGGGCGAATGGTGTACCAGGCGGGAGGGCCGCAGGATCGGTTTGGCAGCGGGTATCGAAGCGAAATTTGGCGAACCCGTCAGTGTGGGCACAAGGGACGGGGTCTCTCTGCTGTAACACCACGTTGGGGATGCAGCGCGTCGTTGGGTCTTTTTTTGTCTTTCCTTTTTGATGACGAGCGATGGCGGTAGCAGTGGATCGAAGAATTTCTGAGACAAAGCTTTGCAGGGGCTCGAATCCGGGTTTTGGGGTCCCGATTCCCATGGTCGTTGGTTGTCGGTCGGCCGTCCGAATCAGACATGCAGAGGACTCGTGCGATATTGACGGGCCCGACCGTTTGGTCAAGCCGTTGTTGCCTGCGGGTCTCTGTTGCTTGTCAGCACCCAAACGTTCCTCCGGGTTGTGGGCATGGAAACGACCGGGAAGTGGACGAGAAGCCATTCGCTGATCGTCAGCACGATTTGCGCAGCTTTTTGCTTTCTGTGAAATTTTCGTGGCTGGCTCACATGAGCTTTGCCAGGGCGCCAGGCACGCCACTAGACGGCCATGCATGTTGGGGCTCTCGGGGACAAGGGTGCCACACTGTCGAAGCAGTGGTGATCTCGATGCAACTCACCTGCACTCTGACGGGCGCCAGGCCAACCACAGCACCCGGCGACCGCACCTTCTTTCTCCCATTGCCTCGATTCAGCCAGCCAGGTACTAGTGTTCCCGCCCAGGTACACGCCCACACGGCGTGCCGGGCTCAGGCACTGTCCATGCAGCTCCGGCACGTGTGGAGCCGACAGTATCGGCACTCCCAGATGAACCAGAACGGGCCGCAGTGGCAGACATGGCATGTCCACTCGATCAGGGTGTTGTCAGACTTAATCATGACAAAGGAGTGGGCGCAGTGGCTGTGGCTTGCGAGTGCCATGTTGGAAAATGTTCGTCTGGCTTTCGTCGAGTGGTAAGAAACTGGCCTGAGGGGACCGGACTGTGGGCCGAGCCAAGACCGGGACTAGATTGGTGTTATGTATGCTGCGGGTGTGCCTCAAAGAGGAAAGGGCCCCTTTAGCTTCTGATCGTGTTAGTGCTGCGCCTAAGACGGGAAAATGACGGCAAGCTCACGACGAGATGACGCTAGGGCCAGATCTCGGTAGATCTCGAAAGGGCGAGAGGAGAACCCGGGATAGACCGCGGGCGCTGGTTCAAGTGATTCGAGTTGGCGAACTGGCTTTACCTCACTCGCGGTGAGGTCGGAGATAGAGTTGCGGGTGTGCGGTCGCTGCCAGAGCCAAAAACCACGATGAGTGCGAGCCGAGGGCAGTTATGGAGAGCCGAGGTTGAGGAAGGAAGATGTCGGAAGAGGGAGATGGTGGGTGACAGTTGAACAAATCGAGTGTTCACCGATGGCCGTTTGTCTAACGTGGGTCTGCAGCGGGAGTCTGATTGTAGGAGAGCTGCAGTAGGTGAGCTGCAGATAACGGAGCGTGTGCTATACACAGGCGACTATGTGAGTGTGCGACGAGCGTCACAGACGGTGCGGTGTGACGACCGGCTAGAGCTAGTTAGACACGCTCTGATGGCCTGGTCTCCGACCCGTGACCCAGAAACGAGCTTGGGGCGGGCCAAAGATGCGTCACAAGCACTTCCGGCTGCCGACCAAAGGAGGATCCGGAATCGGCATGGGTTGATGGGAGCCGGTGAGCGTTGGGATCTGTCGGCTTTCTCCCGAACTCCCTTGCGGCTTACACCCCTCCCCTGGTGGCTCAGGCGTGCCCAGTTCGCGGGTCGAGCGTTCGGATGTAGTAAGTGGGTCGGGTCAGAGGGCGAAGTTGCAAAGAAGGACTGGCCAGGGGACAGGGAACAAGTCCCCTGAGAGGGCAAGTTGTGCTTTACTTTGGTGTTGCTGGCGAGTGCAAAAGCGATCAAGGAATGGGCAATGTAGTGTGTACAGTACCCAGATTCGCCGGTACTGTCTTGCTGCAGAAGCGCAAAAAAACGACGTTGAGAGCGGGAGGTCTGTATCCATTCTCATGGAAGCCAGCCTTCGTTCTGGGAAGGAATCCCTGCCCTGATAGACGGGCTGGCAACCACAGTGGAGCAGACAGCTGACTTTCAAACACTCTGGTCTTGGACATTCAACCCACCACACCATGGACGCAGCGCCCAAAGGCCGGGAAATATGGGACGACGCCGGTGGCCGGGATTACCCTGTAACTGAGCCGCCCATTTCCTGATACGGCTCCCTTGCAGCTTCGTCGCAACCCCTTCTTCTCCTCTTGTGGCCAGTTGGGGGTATAAGTGAGAGATATAAGAGGCGGTTTAGCCGTCAACCTTGGTTGACATCGTTTCCTCACCGCGGCACGCCAATTACGGGGAACGTCTCGAATCCAAACAGACGAGAACTCTGGCGACAGATGGGGTGACTGGCTCGCCATGCTGCAAGGGTTGCGACCTGACTTTTTTTCGGTGGCTCTTTTGGTTGAGGCATGAACGAGGCATGATGACGGGTTGCTATTGGCCGGAAGACCAGATGAGTGCGCCCCGAGACGCCCTAGGTACACACAGTCCACCGAGGGACCCGTGGGCTCGCTATCTTTTCCCGAGCGGGCCCTAGGCGCCGACATGACCAGAAACGACCAAACAAGACCAAACACGGCGAGGGAGGCCGCTGGAGGGCGATGGGATGATGGTCCAGTCCGTAGCGCGCGGCGCGTCCGCCTTCCACTCTGATGCCTGAGTCGCACAGGGTCACGCACGTTGGGTGTCAAACGCCGGTGGCGGGTACCTTGCATGTACCCCGGGAGGACAACGCTTCAGCCGAGAAACACCAGCGATTGCTCGGATTGGTAGCAAAGCAAGGCGGATAAAGGCGTCGCGGACGTTGCGGGGAGAGTGCCGGCAGGCGAATCCACGGGCCGGTCGCGACACAGCATTCAGGGGAGTGAGTGGGAGTGGGAGTGGGAGTAGTTACCGTGTACTGTAGGTACTTCGTACCTCGTTCGTCATGGTCGGTTGCTGGTCGCTGGTCGCTGATCCCTCGAGTCCGAGCGCGTCGGTCGTTGGTGTGGTTAGACGGGTTTGACATGAGCAGGACGACGTTGCCCCACCGAGGTGTCTGACGTTGTCGAGGGAGACAAGGTCAACGGACAACTCCGACCAGGGAAATTGATGGTTTTGGCTGGGTGAGAGCTGGGGAATGTCAAAGTCATGCCAAAGAATTAGCGGGCAGAAGCCCTGTGCCTGGCAGAGAAAGTGGGGGCAGTGGAGCCAGTATAGGCAGCGGAGGGGTGTTTTGCACTGCAGCTTCCTTCCCTGGGCATCAGCAAAATTTGCTACGTTTAGCATTGAGTGAGAGCTTAGTAGGTCCCTCCCCTCTTCCATTGTCTCTCGCGTGATCCTGCCATGGATGGTCCGATTCTGTCTTCTCCCACCCATCAACAAATCATCATCAGACATTCCAGGCAATCATCCGTTTGACCCCCGACCCCCGATCCCCGACCCCCGCGCTTTACTGCCCCTCCAACCCCTCATCCCACGCTGCCCAGTCGCTGTGCCGCAGCCACGACCTTCAGCGGGTTTGACGGGATTTCCGGAGCTCACCTACCCCTGAGAATAACTGGTGTACCAAGTATTCGTATGTACCTTGACCGGTTTCCAGAAAAGGCACCCGCCGCCCCCTTCCGCGTGCCACTCTCGTTTGTTCAGATTCCTGTTCGGACGCCACAGTACCGAATTAGACAGCCTGCTTGGCTTGACTGCTGGCCCCCGAATTTCTTTGTTGGTCGACCCGTGTCCGAATCGGGCAACTTGACGTATACCGCTGTCTCAGTTCGTCCAGCTGTCGGTGGAGAGACTCCTGGAAACTGAATGGTGAGATTCGTTGACAGCCCCCCCTTGTACCCCCCGCTATTTTCAGAATTGCTGGACAGGGCCAAGCCTTGACACCCCGGCAAAGAACTTTCTGGGGAGCTTCTCCATCCTGCATCGCGCACAGGACGGCGGAACCTAAGACTCTGACAGCGGGTCTAGTTCATGCCCAAAGGTGCCCCGGGCAAGGGTTTCAGCTTCCATGGCCTTTCTAGCGCGCCGGGGATCGCCGCGCGTTCGTCTGATCTTGATAAGGTTGGAGTCGCAGTGCTTCTTCTGTTGCGACAGCACCAGTCGTACTTCGTACCGCTAATTCACACGACATCGGGCTTAGTGATGAGAGGCGGTGAGTCCGGCCTCCTGACATCGAGCACAGTTGATCTTCAGATGCCGGTAGTTTCGGCCTCGGGACGAGCAAGAATAGTGACAGCCTCATCCGTTTCGACGCACACGCAGTCGATCATCCTCCCGTCTGCAGCCCAAAATGCGGCCATTCTCTGGCCAATTGGGGGCATTCCCGTCTCCCTGCTGACTCCCATTGCATGCGACCGCCTCGGGCGACCTCATGCGGAAAGCTGGTCTATGCGCCGGTGCCAACGACATCGAAGAACAACATTCGGCATCAACAATCATGACTCCCGATGAACGGCGCAACCAAACTTGATCAGACGCATAGACGGCATTTACTTCGTAGTCCAGCCTCGTCTGAAGTGCCGAGCCCAGTACCGTGATGTAACCGGCGAACAGGCCACATACCCAGCAGCGTCCTTCAATCCATACCAGGCATCCGTTATCTCACCGCCGTGCTGTATCCTCGCCCTGGCGAACGTCATCAACGAACTGAGAGGTCAAAGCTTCACTCCCAAGGTGTTGGTTTCAGCTAGGTGGACACCCAACAAGCATCCGCACAGCCGCTCGCTCCTCTCCGTGAGCAAGTCAAAACACTCCGCCGTCCTTTGATCAAGGAGGACCACAAGGCTAACGCTGAGTCGAATGGCCATACACGACTGTGAGACACCAGGGCCCGGGGATCTCGAGAGATGCTTCCCGGCCTCTCGTGCACTGTCGACAATGAAAATTCACCGCGAGGGACCGACGGGGTTCGTCCCGAGGCTGGTTCTACATTTCACGGTCTGAAGCTGCCTAAACCTATGGCGGCATAGTTTCCGAGTGGCTGGACTGTCATATCTCGCCGATGTGCTGAGATACGGCGTACGCCGGCAGGATGTTACGCATACACCACGCTCAAGATCTACGTGACCCGACGGCACCCGCGCTCTTCCGCAGATCAAAGACTCCCTGAATTCCAAATTTTCAAGCCACCGCGCTCATCGGTTGAGGCTTGATCCTGCAGTGAACCTTGCGATCGTTTAGATCCAGGGCTGTTGTGTACAGTACAGTGTACAGCCCTGGACATACGCTTGGACTGTAACAGCCCTGGAGCAGATCATGTCAAGGGCCCCTGGGCCCCCGTCCGTCACACCATCTCGTCCCACACCTCCCTTCATCCGCCTGTCCGAACCAGTTCAGGATAACAATAGGGACCAGCTTCCACACACCCATGCGCATATAAGGTTGGCGGCGGGTTTCGGAACCCATCGACGGCAGTCGTTCCGGACCGATAACCCACCGGCACCGGCGTAATCCTCCAGGGAAAGCCTTCGGCACATTCTTAAGGTTGAAACACTCCTCCGTCCGACCCAGTCGCGCGTGATATCATGTCGCCGGACGGGACGAGAGAGCGACGAGATGCGCGTGCATGCACACATACATATCTCTGTCGCGCAAAAAAAAAAAGAAAACCGGTTGGCATCCCCCCCAAACGAGAACGCCAGAGAGGAGAGGAGGGGGAGGGAGGCCGCACCTTGGCTTCGATGTCGCGGGGCAAAGCAGGGCAAAAGAAAAGGCAGGGGATGTGACGAGCTAGCCGAAGTGCACAAGCGAGCCGCAGCCACCCCATCATCACGTCCACGGACTCGGATCTGCCCTTCTTTTCCCAGTTGGCTCGCTTCCTCGCTTCCTCGCCTGGCTCTTCGCGCCGGACCGCGGGATACCACTGCAGGGAAGGCAGGGCAAAAAACCCACTCTCACCTGTCATGCCCCTGCGCGCATCCATCTCGTCTCCCGCTCCCCAGATGTGTCAACCGAGCATCGTAGGCATGGGGGGAGGTCACTGTCTGCACGCTGGTACATACATAACACATAGATGGATGGATGAAAGCCCACCAATCCCGTCCCTGCGCCGCAGGGCCGTCCCGCAATCTTGCAACGGTTTTTCACAGAACCGGAACCAGAGATCGCCCAGCTTCGACCCATCACATTTCTTTTCTCACTTCATCTGATCTCAACTGATTGCTCCCGCACATCCGGTCTATCACACATAATAAGCTTGTTTATCACTCTAGTACCCTTTATGTCATGCAACCATCCCGAGATCCCGTCCTATAACCGGGCCCCCATCATAAACTCCACCCCCCTTCCTTATTCTTTCCGTTCTTCACGTACCATGGACGATCTCGTCAGCGCTCTGACCTCACCACTGCGCAACCCTAGTCATCTAGCATCGCTAAATGCCCACCAATGCATAACATGGCCCTGTCGTGGAGAAGGGGAGGAATTGGCGGTGAACAGGAGGCCATATACAACATCACGGCGCTCGGTCTGAGCACAACACCCCCCTCGCCCCCAACAAGTCGTGAACAGCCTGCGGCCGGTGTCGCCACGCCAAGATGACTGAGCAACGGGAATGGCAACCCGCCGGGCCTGTCAACTCCCACAACCGTGTCCCTACCGTTTTGGGGCTCATGTCTTTTTTTCGCGATCCCGGGTTCCAGTGACAGAATCGGTAGGACCACACCGGTCAGCGTCAGGAATCGGGCCGCGGTCCTTTGTCGAATAACTTGGAAATTAGTCCAGCTGTTTCTTGCCGCCGGCTCCACCCACGGCCTCCCCCGTTGGTGTGTCTAGCGTGACCGTTTCGGGAGCTGGGATGTCCGTGGTGGCAACCGTGGTGGGTGGTGTATCATCAACAGGTGCTTCCGCGGTTGGCTGAACGGGTGCAGGCGTGTCAAAAACCACCTCTCCGGTGGCGGAGTCTGTGACTGGCTCGACTGGCTCGCCCGGCTCAACAAGCCCGGTCAGCTCTCCATGCGCGATGGGCTTCATCTCGAGTGCCTCATTATCGTTCTGATGCTGTTTTTCCTGGAACGTGAACGCATCCGATAGGTTGACGGCCAGGAACGTCTTGGGCAATTTCACTCTGCGTGCCACACATCAATATCAGCTCGTCCTAAAGGGCAAGGGGGTACTCACTGGTGAAATTTGGCCCTCAGCGTCTCAATCACCACCTTCCAGTCGGCATGGGCCGTCAGGCTCCGGCGTGGCGCACACCCTATGCAGTGCCTACTATCCAGCTGGACGTCAAGAGGATCGAATACGTGGCAGCCCGGGCTGATGGTGATCTTGATGCTGTAATTGAACGCCGGAGTGCCTTCAGCGTCCACGGGCGGATTGGCGGGCATCTCATACAGCTCAAACGAGATCTGCGAGAGGTAGTCGAGCTCGGGGATCGTGGCCCGCTTGATCTTTGTCTCGAGCCCGCCCTCGAGGATGCAGTTGAGCAACGTGTAAATGTGCGACTCCTTGGTGAAGTAGATGAAGCACTTGGCCTCCTCCGAAGCCTGCATGTCTTCGAGGTCCTCCACAATCTCCTTCAACAGCGGGAGCGAAGTCAAGAGACCGATTTCGAGCTACAACAACACAAAAAATGTGAGCAAAGTTTCCGCCATAATCGGCTCCGCTCTCTGCTAGTTACTCACTTTTTCGCTGTCGGAAATCCCGTATTCTTGTGGACAGATGAAGTCGAAAAGCACCTTGGCCAACTGGTACAACTCCCGCAGCGGTTCGAAGCGCGCGTCCGTCTTCGCTTTGGTCTGGCTGTTGCCACGGTACAGGTGGAAGTACTTCTCAGGTAGCTCTGCCTCCCCACCGCTGCGCAACCCGTTGAGGAATGACCGGCGGCGGAAGATGCGCCGGACCGCCTTGTGGCCCGAGTTTTCGATCTTCTCGGTCAAGGTGCCCGACGACGCAGATTTATCCTCGCCCTTGTTTTCCTCGTTGTCCTTGGAGCCGGACGACGACGACTTTCCGCCCTCCTTCCCGTTTAGCGAGATACCATACTCCTCCTCTAGCATGCCCTTGGGCGGCGTGAACACCCACTCGAGAAACTGCCGGTTGTGCAGGGCGTCAAACTTCATGGTATCGTACAGTTCTGATATCTTGCTGGGGTCAACCTTCTCACCGTCGCAGAACTCGGCAAACAGCTTCTCCCACCGCTCTTTGAAAAGCTCCGCGTCCTCGCCGCAACACCAGCGCGCCTGTATGCTGTTAACCGAGTTAGCCTGCGACAGCGAACCAGCCGAGGCAAGAGACGACACCGACACGGCCGACGATCCTCCCTCGTTGAGGCCCTTCTCCGGGCTGGGGTTGCTGATGGCATTAAGCGAGTTCACGGCGCCGCTGTACAGCTTCGCATAGTTGTGATACATCACTTTACGGTGGAAGTTCATCAGTTGGACAACCCTTGTCTGCACCTCGGACGGCTCGGGCATGTTCTCGGGCCAAGCAAACTGCGGTGGGCGCTCGTTGCCCTTGCGCAGCAGCCCCTTGAGCTTCTTCTTGACCTTGTCCATCTCGTCCTTGGCAGCGTTGGAGTCATCGAGCAGGTCCTTCCGGATGGTCACAAAATCCTCAGGCACATCCTTCTTCTTAAGGAAACTGGCCGCCCAGATCTGTGCACTGGTCACGACGCGGCGCTCGCTGCTGCTGAAGACGTGCACTTCGTCGAGCACCTCGCGGTTCATCAGACCTAGGTCACCGCGCATGTTCTCGCCCAGTTCTTGGGATTGGTACCGCGCAGAGTGCGTCGGCTCGCCGCCCCACTTGACGATCAGCTGCAGCTTGTCGAGAACGAGGCTCTCCTCGGCGGCTGTAAATTTGGACATGGTCACCCCTGAGAGCGAGTCTGTCCTCCGGGGCGGCTTGCGGGATGTCGATTCGTTGCCTTGTTTCTCGGTATCGTCGTCGGTTTGGATAAACGGCTCCTCTTCCTTGATGGCATCCTTTTGCTCCTTATGTTCCTTTTGCTCCTTTTGGGGTTTCGTACCCTTTGCGTCGGCCTTTTTTCGGAACATGGGCTTGATTTGCACCTTAGTACCGGCCCAGCTGCCCTTCTTAATGAGGACGTTGCGGAGAGCCCTGAGTTTAGCGGGATCTTCGACGCCGGCTTTCATGGCCAGGTCTACAGCATCAATCACGCTGGCCAGCGCCGGCTCACCAATAAGCAAAACTTCTTCCTGGTGACCCCTGAGCAGTTCGATAAAGGGGGCCGTGTGGAAGGTGAACTTGTACTTTTGTTTGGGCGTGCGGTCTGCGTGTCGGATGACTGACACTACTCCCTTGAGCTTCCAGCTGGGCTTGGGAGGAGGCGGTGGCGGCGGCTCCTGCTCGTCCTCGACCGCCGCCTCCGGCAGAATGGACGGCGAAGCGGACTTGATCGACGGTGCGGCAGACGGGACGCTGTCCTGCAAAGCAGCAGCAAACTGACTGGCTAACGGACTGGCAGGCATACTGCTCTGCTTAGAGTCGGGCTTCGTTGGTGGGGGTGGCTCGACAAGCGACTCGCGCGCCGACCTATCCACGCTTGGCCGACCCTGGGAGGCAAGGTCCCGCTCCTTGTTCGGCTGGTTCAAGCGAACCGACATCGGATCCACGTCGGAGATCACGGGCGAAGGCATGGGCGGTGTTCGCCCATCTCTGCGCTGCTTCTCCTTGATAAACATGTCCTTGAGAATGTTGGCGCAGTGGTTGTAGTAGTCATCGTTGTCCTTGACGAAACTCCATCCGTTCACATCAATAACGTAGCTCTTGCCACCGGCGCGCAAGAAATCGAAGCCGCACACGCGCTGACCAAAGGCGGTGCTGATTTTGCTGGCGACCTCCTTTTCTTCGGTACTCAAAGCAGTCACGTAACGCACCTCTTTACCGTGGGTATTGCGGCGGACGACGCCATCTACTACAGGCGACTTCCTCGTCTCAGCATGGCAGTAAGCCGGGCCAACTGTGTATGCTTTGACATCTTCAGCGTTGTCCACTTGCATAAAGCGCTCATAGATGAAGCTGTCTTCCGGCTGGGTGATGGCGCGAGGGACGTTTAGACCCTCGACATACTCGCTGCTCTTGTTGCCGATTTTGCGGAACAACTTGCGGGCGCCGCCACCAGCAGACGAGGGGAAGTAGATAATGATGTTGTGGTCCTCGCCGCTGGTTGGTTTCTCGACAAAGGGTTTCTTGATCAAGGTTCCGTCGACGGAGAGGATATCGCCGCCGTCGAGTAGCTCCACCTTTCGAGGGGAGGCCCATTTGGCCTTTTCCGATTCCGAGTCAAACGGCTCGAATGTGATGCCGCTCACTTCCCGAATGTGTTTGCAGGTGTCGGGTGTGAGTAGCGTCGGGCCGCCATCACGGTTCACCTCGATACGCTGAGGGGTTGAGACGTTGATGCGGTCGAGCAGACGTAGGCAGAGGCGGCGGTCCCAGAGAATCTTTTGCATAGGCACATCGTTGACGCAGAAAGGCTTGCGGGCCTTGACGTAGGCCATCGCTTTCTCCAGGGGAAAGCCGTCCGAATAGAAGGATATGAGGTAGTCGCTGGACTGTCAGTATGGGCACTTGGGCATGGGACTTGGGGATACTCACCATATAGGCCAATTTTCAATATCTATCTCATGTTAGTTAGCCTGAATCGAAGCAGAAGCAACATGGGGAAACTCACCCTCGTCGAGGATAACCTTGTCTCCAAAGACACAGACGTCAAATTCTCGGTTTTGGATGAGCCGGTTGAGGATATTTCTGCTGGGCTTGCTTCTCGCCTTGACATCCAAAGCGCACACGCCAATAACACCTAGCGGGGCAGGCTTATGCTCTTCTTTCTCTGGCCGGTGTGTCAGGGCGCGGTCACCGCTCGGGCTGTGGTGGCTACTAGCCCCGGTGCTCCCGCTGAACCTGCGCTTGGCCCGGCTCCTAGACCTTGTGGGCTGTGAGCGCGGCGTGGGGCTGGTTCCGGTCTGTTGCTGTTGTCCCTGATGCGGCTTCTTGGCCGCATCTCCCGGATTTTGCACCTGTGACTCACGTATTGGGAGCTGTCCTCCCTGCAACCCCTGGCTGCCTGTTGTGACCGTCATGTTGGGCCCTTTAGATTCGGGTTGCGGGGTGGCAGGATTCTTAGACCCCCCACCCGATGCCATGATGCCAGATGCTGGTCGATGGATTTGGGCGCCAGTCACGCTGCCGTTATCGCTTCCGTTGGCTGATGCTGCCGAGCTGGGAACGCCACGGGCCGATGCGAGGCTGTACAAAGAGCTAATGCTCATCCGGTTGCTGACGGGGCCCTCGGATATGGAGGTGCGGGCGCTGCGCAGGGAGGGATCAGTAGACCCGCGGGGAGAGCTGTCTCAATGGGTAGTGCCTTGCATGTAAACGGGATGTATCAGGGTCGTTGGGGTCGGTCATAGCGACGGCAAAGTCTCGGGGTGAAACTGCCGACGTGGAGGGTTGGTCGTGGGATGAGGTTTGCGGATGTTGGGAAACGTCGACGGTTGTTGGGATAGCTGTTTCTGTCGAGTCTTCCTTCGCCGAAATATGGGCTGGAAGGGGCGGCGGGGGCATGGACACGTCCGCTCTTTCTGCGTGGGCCACGGTGGTGCCAGGCTCGACGTGCTTGGCTTTGTGGAGGGAAAGGGCGGACGAGGACGAAAGGCTGTGAGAGTGGAAACCGCGACCCTCTTGCCGAGACTGAGGTCTAGACTCCGTAGTTCCTGCCGCGGCCGGGGAGGACTCGATTGAACTTCCCGCAAGCTCTGGATCATCTCGCGGTGGAGAAGGCGGCGATGTAGAACTGGCAGCACCCGATCCAGTCGAGCTCACGGTGGCGTCCGGGTCGTTGAGGTTTGGATCCATGTTTGATGTTGGCGGGGGCCGGACAGTTGAAAGCTTCTAGTAAAGCTGGCTCGATGACCGGCTTTAAATCGACCAGCACATGCAGATGCGCGAAGTCGGCACTTGACCGTCTGATGTCACTTCCAAAAAACAGGACTTCAAAGCAGATTTCGATCTGATGGTCAGGGTTGGGAACATTTGGTGCGGTGGCAAAGCTAACACATTCGGTACAAATGTACAAAGACGGGAGGAGCTTCGGCGAGGGAGAGCTTGGCCCGAATGTTTTGCATTCCCACGTGAAACTAAAATAAAAATAAAATAGGATTAAATAGGCAATTAACTAACTGCCGCCCGGCTCAGTGGCCCAGCCAAGGAACCAACCCGACAACCGGAGTCATGGAGTGGGAGGCGATCCGGGCTAGACCAAGGGGTTCCAGGTTGATACGCAAAATGGCGGGACTGATGGGCCAACCAACCCCCCTGCGCCAGATCGAATGGCGGTTTACGCTGGCGCCAAGGATTATTTTCTGTGGTGGGGCAGAGGGGCACAAAACCCAGTGCCATGACGCCAGAGGACAAACATATGGACAGGCATCTCGGCACGAGCCATATCAGCCTCCCAAACTCGCCCCTTTTTAGAAAATATAGCAATCAAATTCGGTTTTGGACACCGATTGTTTACAATTGCAGGCTCGAGGCCTTATCGCTTGTTTTAAGGCACTGTAAAAATTGCCAGTGGTGCCATGTAGCACAATACAAGTGGTCGCGTGACAAGTAGCCCGTTTGGGCCAAACTGAGATGTCGTGCCCTCATAGGCCAACACATCTTTTCTCTCGAGATCATAAAGGCGGTCAAGATGCGGCCCTTGCAGCTGGCATGTGTGCAGCTGGGAACGGGTCTGGCTATCGGATGCGGGTCTTGGAAGTCGGTGCTCGGTGATTGAGAGCCGGTCCAGTCGGCGCACGGTGGGCGTAAGTGGGTCCAATCAAGGTGAAGGAAGGTGTGGGCTCGATTTTTTTGGTGGGGCTCTTTCCGCCTTTTCGGACGAGGCTGCCGAAAACTTCAAAAGTTCGAAACCGCGATTATCACGAACCAGAAACGCCCATTGGTGGTCGTTATTGGCAGCCCGCGCTCGACAAAATGCCCCACTCCGAGCCTGACCGGCCGTCGACAAAACGTCAAAGGATCGATGCCGTCGTCAAGGTGTCGCCCTCGCCGGCCAAGCGAGGCTCGACCATCTTTGCGCCATTCCGAGTATGTACTCTTCCTCCTTGCATTCAATCAATGGACTGTTCTGACCATTTAGACCATTGGACTAGTTTCTCCGACGGCCGTCCCCTTCGCTTCGATTCCCCTCGGCAAGACAACTTTCCAGATCACGACCTCGGTCGGCCGCGCCCTGCAGACCTACGATCTCAAGCGCGGCCTCAACCTCGTCTTCGTCACGCGCCCCCAGACGCCCGCCGACATCACCGCCACCTATGCTTGGAAGGATAAAGTCTTTGCCGCTTGGGGCGACCCGCGCAATGGCGAGCCCCAGGGGTTGTGGGCATTTCAGCGCGGCAAGAAGGCCGCCGAGCTCCAGCTGCCTGCGGATTTGGACCAACCCATCAAGCAGATCCTGATTTTTGGCTCCTGGATCGTCGCTTGCGCTTTAACGAGGGTAGAGGTGTGGAAGTCGTCAACATTGGAGCATTACACCACCATCTTCACAGCCGCGACTAAGAAAGGCGACAATGAAATCAGCGGCGGCGTCTGCAACATGCCCACATTCCTCAACAAGATTTTTGTCGGACGGAAAGACGGTTGGGTTGAGATCTGGAACATCAGCACGGGCAAGCTTATTTACACGATCTTGCCACCAACTCCAGATTGCGGCGCTGTCACCTTCCTTCAGCCTTCCCCGGCTTTATCCCTTCTGGCCATTGCCTACTCCGGAGGACCATTGGTTCTACAAAACGTACTTACCGACAAATCTGTCCTTCGGTTAAATGCTGGGACCGAGGATGCTCCGGTTACGTGCATCTCGTTCCGAAGCGACGGCCAGGGAGCGGGTCAAGACGGGAGAAAGGATGGCGTTATGGCTACCGCCACCAGCGTTGGTGGGGATGTCACCTTCTGGGATCTCAATAAGGGAGGGAGAATAATGGGTGTTCTCCGGAGCGCGCACAATCCCCCGTCCTACAACAAGGACGTCCGTGGAGGAATCAGCAAAGTCGAGTTCCTCCCCGGGCAGCCCGTCATTGTTACGAGTGGCCTGGACAACTCCCTCAAGTCTTGGATATTTGATGAGTCGCCCTTTTCGCCTGTCCCACGCATTCTGCATATGCGCAGCGGGCACGCGGCTCCAGTACGCTGCTTGCAATTCCTACCCTCGGATTTCGACGGAGCTGAGGGCGGGAACAAGTGGCTGCTCAGCGGTGGCCGTGATAGGAGCTTGTGGGGGTGGAGTTTGCGCCGTGATGGGCAGAGCACCGAACTTAGCCAGGGCGCCATCCGGAAGAAGGCCAGGAAGATTGGTATTTTGGCTGGCAGCTCCATGTCGCATGGCCCAACCACCACTTTGGACGACCTCAAAGCGCCGGAAGTCACCTGTATCGCCTCTTCGCTAAATCGGGATGGAGGGATGGGAACCATGCCCGGGAAACAAATGATTTGGGACAAAGGCAATGATAAAAACAAGCTCACGAGTGCTCAACTTAGCGGTATGACTGGCTGGGAGAGCGTCGTAACGGCCCACAAGGATGACCCTTGGGCACGTACGTGGTTTTGGGGGAGAAAGAGGGCCGGTCGGTGGGCGTTTAAGACAGGCGATGGGGAGAGCGTGTCGACTGTTGCCATGAGCTCCTGCGGCAGTTTTGCTTTCGTTGGTTCAAGCGGGGGCGGCATCGACATGTTCAACTTGCAATCTGGGAAACATAGGCAGCGATTCCCCTCGAGGCTGACCCCTGCACAGCTACGACAACTGAAGATGCAGCAGTTGAAGGCACTGGATGAGGTCAACAAGCTCCAGTCGCGGTCCAAAGCCACGTTTGCGCCAGGCACCGGGAGGCACACCAAGGCCGTGACGGGCATTGTGGTTGACTCGCTCAACCGAACCGTCATATCTTGCTCGCTCGACGGCAAGATTAAGTTTTGGGATTTCGTGACGGGGAGCCTCATCGACGAGATTGATTGGGCACCAATGATCAAGATCACAGCTTGCCGCTACCACGCAGGAAATGACCTCATCGCCTTTGCATGCGACGACCATTCCATCCGGGTGGTCGACGTGGAAACCAAACAGACGATTCGTGAGTTTTGGGGCTGTCGGGGGGACATCAACGACTTCTGCTTCTCCAACGACGGCCGGTGGATTGTCGCCGCATCGCAAGACTCGATTGTTCGCGTCTGGGACCTGCCCACGAGCCACCTGATCGATGCCTTCCGGCTGGAGAAGCCCTGCACGGCGCTCGCTTTCTCGGCGACGGGCGAGTACCTAGCGGGTGCTGTCGAAGGCGATCTCGGGGTCCAGCTTTGGACAAACCGCACGCTGTTCAAGCACGTGCCCACGCGGCAAATCTCCGACAAGGAAATCGGCCAAATATCGGCGCCCACGGCTTCAGGCGAGGGCGGCCAGGCCTGATCGAAGTCGCGTTCGAAGCGCGCAGAGACGAGCACTAGCTGCCGAGGAGAGACGACGTCACGGCGCCGGTGCTCGACCAGCTCAGTGCCGACATGACCACCCTCAGTTTGGTTCCGAGAGTCGCTGGCAGACGCTGCTGCACATCGACCTGATCAAGGAGCAGAAACAAACCCAAGGAGGCGCCCAAGGCGCCCGAGAAGGCGCCGTTCTTCCTGCCGGCTGTCGGAGGCGCAGCGGCTACTTCGAACGCGCTCGTGCCCGCGGGGAGAGACCAAGACTAGGGAGGCCGAGGGTTCACGGCTGACGCAGCTCGACCGGACGCGGAACCAGCAGGCGCTCACGTCGAAACTGCTTGTTTGTGGCGCGTCGGGAGATTGTGAGTAGCACCTTTCTTTGTGTTTCCTTCTTCCCCTCGTACGTCGACGCACATGTTTGACGCCATCATACTGACAACCTCTCGAAAACAGACACGGACTTCCTCGAACACCTTAAATCGCTCGGGCCGTCGGCGGCCGACCTAGAACTTCGGTCGCTCTCCATGGGCTTCGGCGACGACGAATCCAACGAACTGTTGCACTTCATCCGGGCGCTGACGAGCCGGCTGGTGGCGCGGCGCGACTACGAGCTGACGCAGGCGTGGATGACGGTGTTCCTGCGGCTGCACTTCGATCTAGTCATGGCCAACGAGTCGCTGCTGGAGGCGCTGGGCGAGTGGAAGCAATATCAGGGCAAAGAGAGGGAGCGGCTGGATGATTTGGTTGGGTATTGTGGGGGGGTGGTCGGGTTTTTAAGGAGTCCAAGGACGTGAGTGGGCGCGGTGTACGGGAAGATATCCATCAACAATCAACATATACATGACAGGCGAACAGGCACGCGCGAGGCAAGCAACAAATCGTCTCAAGCAGAAGAAGTCTATGCTAACTAAGGTGTATTATGCTGGGGTATGCTAACGATAATATGCTGGGTATTCTAACCATTATGCTGGGGCATATCATGCTGGGGTATCTCTCGTTATTCATGGTCCAGGGCCATCGCGTCATCCTATCTCTCCAACATTCACCCAAAGATCCAATCCAAACACCGTTCAAACCGGCTTCTAAACCAGTGTCAGCGCGCTGGATTCCCACAACGGGGATTGGGAGGAAAGGGGATGCTTACGCTGGTTTGCTTGGCACATAACTGCGCTCGTAGGCTGCGATCTCGTCCATATTCTTCTGCAAATCGATCTCGTGGGCGTTGTGGATTTTGGTCTTGTGCACCAGCTTCCAAGTGAGAAACAACAGCGGGCAGATAGCAATCATGGTGTATCTGGGTTCTGGTTAGTACGTCTTCCCTCCTCCTCCAACAAAACAGAAGGACATGTTGCGTTTCCGGGCCTGGGCCCAAAAAGACTTACGAGAACAAAAAGGTCGGGATGTTCCAGTTCCCCGGCAAAAACACCATGTAGCCGCCCATGAAGGTCATGACGAAGGTGCCGACCAGGGCGTACCAGGCCGCGAAGGGCTGGAACCAAGCACGGTACGGCAGCGATCTCCGGTCTATGCCCTGGGCCTTCAGGGCGGCGTGGAAGCGCAGGTAGGTGACGCACATGGCGCTGAAGTTGATCAGCTGGCTGGCCGTGACCAGATTGACGAACCACTGCAGCACGATGGCGGCGTCATTCGAGACCTGCAAAAAGGCGAGGAAAGCGATCGCCAGCACCAGCCCGACGCAGTAAATGGGCACGCCGTTGCGCGTGCACTTGAGGAAAACCCGCGGCGCCTTGCCCTCCAGTGCCATGCCGTACAGCGAGCGCGACGCGCAGTAGACGTAGCTGTTGCCCGCGGAAAACGCCGCCGTCAACACCATGGCGTTGACAATGTCCGGCAGGATGCGGATCCGCAGCCGGTTCATGGCCACGACATACGGCGAGGCCGCCGCGCCGGGTGCACCCCCCTCAAAAGCCGCCTTCATCTCCTCATCGTTATGCGGCACGAGGATCCCCACGGCCAACGACCCCAACACAAAAAAGGCCGTCAGCCGGTAAAAGACGGCGTTGAAGGCGCGCGGCATGACTTGGCGCGGGTTCTCGCACTCGCCGGCGGCCATGGAGACGTAGTCGGGCCCCGCGATGGTGAAGGAGGCGAGGATGAGGCACTGCAGGAAGCCCATGAAGCGGCCGAGGCTGCCAGTGTGGTACAGTTCGGCGAAGGCACCGGGCTCGTACCAGTACCGGAAGCCGAAGCGGTCGCCGAGCGGGTTGCCGCCGAGCATGACGACGAAGGTGAAGATGATCAGGGCGACGATCAGCAGCATCTTGCCGAGGGCGGCCCAGAATTCGACTTCGCCGTACCATTTGACGGCTAGGACGTTGATGATGCTGTGGGAGGGGGGTTAGTCACGGGTTTATGGTTTCGGGATCTGTCTAGGCAGAGAGAAACTGGGCAGAGGGAAGGGGAGGGGATGAAGCCGTACCCATAGAGGACGATGATGATGGCGATGATGCCGCCTGCGGGCACGGCGTCACTCCAGTAATGGATGATGACGTTGCAAGCGGTGATCTCGAAGGGCACCATCGCGGCCTCGAAAACGAAGAAGTTCCATCCGGCGGCGAAACCGAAGGCCTCGTCGACGTAACGGCCGGCGAAACGGATGAAGGGAGACGAGATGGGGAGGTAAGTCACCATCTCGGCCATGCATAGGGTCACGGCGAGGATGAAGGTGCACCTATCGACGGGTCGGGTCAACTCTCATCATCGGACGGAAACAAACTGGGGTTGACGTCTGTTTTATTTGAATGTGCTTACCATAAGGTGAAGGCGATGAAGAGGCTGCCGGGACCGCCGTTCATCAAGCCGCGGCCGATCTGGACGTACAGGGCAGTACCAATGGTACCACCGATGCCTGAAGAAGGTTAGCAGACAGGTCAATCTACCTCATGAAAATAGGCCCAAGACGGCGGGTTCTCACCGATCAGCTGGATATGGCGCGACTTGAGGGTCCGGTGGGTGTTGTCGCTGCCGGGAATGCTGCGGATCGAGACATCCTCGGGGGAGCCAGTCCCAGGGGCGATCTCCTTGGTCTCCTTGACGGAGGCCGACCGGCGGGCGCCTGTCTCCATATCAAGGGCTGTCGAGGCCATGGTTTTGCCTCGACGAAGAGACGCGTCTTCCCACGCTAGCTCGTGGGTTGAGGAGGGTGAAGGGTCCCGAGCAGCTCTGGAGGCGGGTGTCCAGGCGCGTAGTGACCCGCGCGAGCTGCAATCAATGTATTTATTTTGAGGAGAGAGAAGAACTCGGCAGCAAGTGTTATTGGAGTCGGGCTGTCGTCAGTCGGGTTGGCAAGCTTGGGCTGTCCCGGGGCAGAATTGGTGTTGGGGAGAGAGAGACGATGGAGAAGTGTGTGCAACTTGTAGTGCGAGAAGAATTGACATGCTTGGCACGTGGATGGAAGGGTCCTGGAGAGTGTTGCCTGTGCCTGTACCTGTGCCTAATGGAGAATGTGCCTGAAGGAAAAGTGGATGGAAAATTCCAATCCGAGTTGCTGGGTCAAAGCACTCGGGGTTGGGTTCCATAGTTGCTGTCGGTGTTCCGGGGCCTTGCAGGTTCTCCAGCGATGACGATCGTTCCTAGCAAGCAGGCACATCCATATCTATTCTATGTACGTAAGCAGAGCGGGTTAAACTCGCTGGGATGAGGCATGAGGGATTGCAGTAGCGGTATGAGATCCCTCAAGCGAGAGCCTATTATGTCTTGAGGATCTCAGTGGGTGCCACCAGGCGCCATTAAACAAGGTTTTGGGACGTTGAGTTCTCGCCGTTGGTTTGTCCCTCCACCGGAGCCAAGCTCAGCCAAGGTCAGCCAAGGTCAGCCAAGGAGCCAAGCGTTGTAGTTGCCACACTCACTCGCACTCAGCCCTTGCCCCGAATTGCTCCAACGTGGGGGACCATAAGGAATTTCGGTGTTGCAAATTAGTAGTACGTGAGTACCAAGCAGAGCAAAGAAGACTTGGAAAAGCTTGAACCCCTTGCTGCCCAGCCATGGGACAATCCATCGTGTCGATGACGCAAAACTGCCCTGTTTCTCGTCTCGGGACCGAGGAAGCAACCCGGGAACATGCTGTGTCCCGAGAAATAACAGTCTGAGTCCTGTGAAGATGCGGCGGACCTAACTTGGTCGAGGACACTGGCAGCTTAATGTCTGGGAGGAACGACTGAGGGACACAACAGGATTCGAGAGATAAGATAAGGTCCCGCCAATGGAGAACTCCTTGCCCCGCTGTCCCGTTGCCCCGCGGCCTGCCCCGCAAATTCCAGACTTGGCAAGTTGTTGATTACCCCTGAACAACACAACTACCTCGTTAGGTGTGTAGATCAAAACTAAACTCGGACTTGGGACCAGGAACTCGAAAACTTGCAAGAAAGCTTGTCGTTTGTATTCCTGGCCGTGGAGGAGTTTGCGGCTTGGTACATGGACATTAAACGGTCAGAGCCAGACGTTAGAGGTTAGTTCTGTACGAATACACCAAACAGACTAGGGGAACGGACAAGCTTTCAGGTACGCATTGGCATGTCATACCTATTCCATGGAAAATACTAAAGACTGGCCATATGGGTCAATGCTTGCACACCCGAATCCAATGGAAAATTCTAAAAAAGTGGTGCGTGCCCGAGTGAAGGTGTACTACCGGGGCGGGGAAGAGGAAAGGGTGTGAGTCAGTTTACATGCCAATCCATTACTTCCTTCATCTGGAGCTGTACGACCATGCAGTTGATGCCCAGACAGCTTGGTGTTCACTCTCTGAACGCTATAGTCCGCTCGAATTCTGAACCCATTCGCTACCTGAGTAGTTGTCTTTTTTATCCCACAAATCAATAAAGAGATAACCAATCAATAATTAAGCATCCATTCATATTACTTCTACTCCCAGGCATCTTCATCGAAGCGAAGTGTCAATAATATGAGCGTGAGTTATACTATATAACTAGATGTGAAATAATCATTATTGTTACTCATCAAGTGTGACGGCAGGGTGGTTCTGACGCTAACCCTGGCCGCAACCTGAGTGGTGGTCTGTGCGCCTCCCACCTGTGTTTTCCCACAGTTGCGGGAAGAGTCCCCCTAATTTGACTACCCCAACCGCCTTTTTTGACTACCCCGCTATTTTAGGAAGACGGTCAGAGGATTCTGCCGGCAGAACCAGCAGAATCCTCGTTAGCCAGAGCCAACGGTGAATATTCGCGGGACGACGCCTCACTGTCGCCGCGCCATTCCGCGATGCCATTAAATGGATAAACTGAGTAATTCTAGATGTGATAATGAAATTTTAATACACTCTCTGCAGCCCAATCGCTCAGAGGATTCTAGCCTCCTCGATCGCACACGAGATCATAGTGGCGGGCAGCGCCCTTCTTGTCCCAGTGAGTGCGTCGCTTGACAATCGCGTATCCCTGCTGCTTTGCCTGCTTGTTGACGTCCTCTAGAAGCTCCTCAGAGGTGGAATAGCCGTCCGGCCAACCGACAGGCGCGTTTAAAGACATCGCAGTATCGCTATTGCCGAATTTCTATTGTGGTTTGTCAGGGCGTTACTTGGCTTTTTGGTGGCTAAGGGATGGCGCCTAAGCTATTTGTTTCCCGGGTGGCGGGAGTGGCGGGGCTGGCGGCACATGAGTTTCACCGCCTTCCTAAAATAGCGGGGTAGTCAAAAAAGGCGGTTGGGGTAACTAGTCAAATTAGGGGGACTCTTTCTTTTAATCGTCCTTAGGGCCCGAGCCGCGGCGCTTGGGATAGCAAAGGATGCCATGAATCATCTCGAACCCCTGGGGACTAGGGGGACGGCTTCGCCGTCCGGCCCGGATGGCACGCCTTGTTTCTTCCCGGGCAAGTTCCTCGAGCCTCTCGCACCGCCGGTCCAGGTTTGCCCGTCTAATCCGATTTTGTCGCAAGCCCCGTCGCGGCCGTTCTCTCTACCCCTTGCTCTCACACACATCGCTCGCACTCGCCGCGAAATGCGAAGACCCTTCGCCACACGACATTTCTTCTCACAGCGTTCGGTGAACCGGGCGCACATGTGGCCGCAATAGTAGCGGAGTGAATGACCGCAACACATCTTGATGATCTGAGGGTTGGTGGTGGTTCGAAAGAGGAGTGGAAAAATAATGGGAGCCTGAAATCTGGGGGGGACAAATCTGGGGGGGGCCTATATAAGCTCCCATCTCGCGCTTTCATCCCTTTTTGTGACTCACACTTCATGCCCGAGCGCTATCACGAAGAAGTTTTTAGTATGGCATTTTAACTGTTTCTGGGTAAAAACTTGTCTATCATCCTCGTGCGCTGTCACAAGGGCATCGATATTTTATGTGTCCAGGACATCTAGGCTACGGGACCGCACGACCTTTATCGCCTAGTTCACACTTAGGTAGCGATAAGAGGCAGATACATGTGCAGGCAACGATAGTTGGGAAGAGAACACGCTATGATCTCTACAGGACGGGTTGGTGTTGTCGATGTGAGTGCAACAATGAGTGTAGCGAAAGAATGTATTGTGGCCTCTAGGGAATGTGATTATGCTATAGCTTGGTGCCAGCGACAGGGGCTGGAGCGATAGGTGCAATATTGTGGTGAAATGTATTCGTGGCAAAAGGCCGTAAGAATTGAGAATAATAGGAAGAGAGTGATGGGAGCAACGAGGTGCAGTCATTGTCGTTATTGTTGTAACTTGCCGCGTTCTCTCCGCAATAACACCACTCACCCCGCCCCGCCCTGGGAGCCAACATGAGGTTACCCCAACACCACAACCACTCACCCTACCCTAGGAGGACCTCGGAGGAAGTCCCGAAAACCTCCCGCCACCACCACCATGACCGCCACCACTCCGCAAAAGCAGCGGCACAACCACCAAACTCGAGAGCACCTCAGCCACTGTCTCTGGAGCCATGCCCTGTCGCGCCGCCACCTGAGTGTAGGGGAAGGAAGCCTGGATGGCCTGGGCCATGTCCTGTAGGAGGGGGTTCGGACCGCCGCTGGGTGTGTTCTTGTTCGGGAGTGTGTGAAGTAAAGACGGGGATTGGGTTGTTGATGATTGGAGGTGATGGTCGTGCTGCTGGTGGCGCTGCTGCTGGTGGTGTCGTCTCGGGTGGTTAGCTGGGTGCGGTGACGGTGTTGGATGGGAGGTTGGTGCTGGGTGAGTGGGAGCCGCTGGGTGTGGGATTGCGCCGTTGTTGTTGTTGTGGTTGTGGACTAGGCCAAGAGGGGGATTGAAGTTGAGCTGATGGTTGGTTGAGTTCTGGATGAATCGGATTCGAGCGCAGTGTAGACAGGGCGGTTTGACTGTGTTTTTAGTCGCCGGCATGGGAGAAGGTTGCCTAGCGACTGTGCTTTCGTGCCTGGAGGGGAGGTGGCGCTTTGTGGTATGTTGTTTCTGCAGTGTTGCCATAGGCAATGCAAGACTGTCTTCGCTTGACAAGTGTGTCATGGGCGGGACAAGATTTTGCGTGTTCGTTGGGTTGATAGGAGCTGGTGCATGCGTCTGGCTGACTGCGTTGCCAAATCCAACGCTGCCCATAATGCCGCCATCTGCGGAGAAGACTTGGCTCACGTCGAACCCGGGACTGTTCGTTGGTGTGCCGTTGAAGTCGAGGCATGAGATCTGATCCAACGTAACCGAGTTCGTTGAGGAGGGGCTTGGAGTTTGCAAAGTTGAGTGGGCGGTGTTCGCATCAGCATCAGGGGGTGCCCGGTAGGTTTGTGGAAGTTGCTTGGGGGAGATTGCCTCTGAATGCCGAGGTGGGCGGGTTTGTGCCGGAGCAGGTGACTGCGAAAAGAAAAACTTCTTGAAGACAGGGAGTGAGTTGCCCCGGGTCTCGAGCGTTGAATCAGGCCCTGGAGCTTTGACTTGGTTGGCGTCACACATGCTGCGGCGGCGGTCGAGAGTCTGAGTTGGAGCGGGTGTTGTTGGGTTTGCGACAAGAGTAGCTTGAGGAAGAGGCGGAGGGCAGCTAGGAGGCTGAGAAGGGGCCGGAGGCGGAAGCGGGACCAGAGCTGGAGAGGGTGAAGGCGGAGGCGGAGGCGGAGGCGGAGGCGGAGGATTGAGCAGAGGGGGTTTCGTGGGTTCTTGGGGGGCTTGGTCATGTTTTTGCTCTGTCAGCCTCATTTTTTTGACAGGATTGGACGAGATAAACTCAATCTCGTCGTCGATAACATGCCGTTTGGTGAGCATGGCTTGTTCGTTTGCATGTCCGACGCTGGCACTGGCCGATGTCGAGGATGTCTTGGTTTGGCCCATCTCTTCCTCCTTCCTGGTGGACATGTTGCTTCAAGGTAGTGAAAGTAGGAGATCGACAGAAAAAGATGAAGCGATGATTGGAATGGAGTAAGGGACGGAACGGTAGATGGGAGGGAGTAGGGGCCTTATGCCCGAAATGTTCAAGGACAACCACCATTACTTTCTGGCCAGCCTACAACCTTGTTCGTTGGGTGCCGTGAAAGAATATGCGGTGGTGACCGGCAGACAACAGCAGCTTTGCTGTTCTTGCATATCAGCGTGCTGGTGATTAGAGCCAAAGAAAAGTCCACCAACTTTGGGTCAAGAAGAAACAAACGAAAGTAAAGAACTGTGTTAAGCATGTCTGTGAAATAGCAGGCATTGGGACTGGATGTGCACGGTGAATTGAAACCACACAGGCTGTAGCTAAAAATGCGAGACTTGCAAACCACAACCCTGAAGGTGAGGAAGTGAGTTGAAAGCCTGTTGACACAATGATGTTGTCATTTAGTTACTGAATTGAAAGAAGCGGAGTTTGAGCTTGCACCAACTTGGGGAGAAAATACGATCAAGTACAGAAAGCCAAAATAAAAGTCGACGATAATTTGAATCAATGAATCAAGCGAATAAGAAACCCAAACAAGACAAACCAGCAAAAGGAAAGTAAATCGAGCTGATGGATGGTGTTTTGGGTACCGGGTGACTCTCGTTTCGTTTCGTTCCGTTCCTATAATCAAGGACCTGAAAGGCGATGCACAGCCGTTCCTGCTTCCTGGCCTTGGCGCTCACATTACAAATGCCATTACCACCTTTTGCCTGGGCGAAAAGCTGCACATTAGTTCTTTACCAACAGTTTCATTGAACACTGGAGAAATGACTCCGAGCTATTTTACCTGCTTTAGAGGTTCATTTTACAAAATCACTCCGGGGTCTAAATGGAAAGGAAGTTGAAGGAGTAGTTGAAGTCGGGATCTGTTATTACAGAGCACCCAGGTTAGAGACCATGGCATAGACGGCTACGTTTGGTATGTCATCTTGAATTCGCTCCAATCTTTATAGATAGGCTATGGCAAAGCGGTGTGCGGCATCCAGGAACACTCGAGAACACGAACCAACACCACAGATGGCTCAATCGTATCACAACCGTTGTCGCATTATCGTACTATAGCGGAGAGATACCTGTATTTGGGTAGTAACCTTCGTATTAGCATCCGCTTTTATTACCGGTGCATGTCCAGGATACAGCTGCCAGCTGGCATACCAGACCCCACCAGCCGATGGCAGCTCCAGCTCCAGCGGGGCAAGGCTGCACTTCTGCCTCGTCAACCAACCCCGCGACATCATCACATCCAAGCGGCCGCAACATCCCGCAACCAGATTACGAAAGCTTTATTCTAAATTCTGGGTTTATTGTAATAGCCTCCAGCCGTACAAAACAAAATCGAGATTTAGCCGCAAAACAACACCGAAAATGGCCGGCCAAGCAGCCAACGAGTTGCTGTCGACACAAAAGGCGTCCGACTCGGGTATCAAAGTCGTGTTGCACCCGCTACCCATACTCGAGATATCCGATTTGATTGTTCGAGGGTATCAGCGTGGATTGAAAGGAGCTGTTGTCGGTGCGCTATTAGGCCAACAGAACGGTCACGAGGTTACCATCGAGCATAGCTTCAGTTGCAAGTCGGCCAAGAATGCCGATGGCCTCTACGAGCTCGACGACAGTTGGTTTGGGCAGCGCTTAGAACAAAGTGAGCGTCGCGCTTCTCCCTCATTACCTCATCGATTTTGCTGACGAGATCCTAGTGAAACTTGTTCACAAGAGCCCCGCGCTCGACCTCGTCGGCTGGTACTCTCTTGTACCCAAGGCCGGCCCCTCCGCCTTGCACCTTCCTATCCACCGCCAGATCAGCGCCCTCAACGAGTCGGCGGTTTTGTTGGGTTTCCACATTGAAGACATGCTGGCCCCAAGCTCCGGTGATCCTTTACCAATTACGATATATGAGAGCAACATGGAGGCCGAGGATAGTAAAGAGGCCGAGGGCGAAGACCAAGAAATGAAGGATGCCGAGGCTGCCGCCAAGATGGTCCTCCGTTTCAGGAAGCTCCCGTACGGTACGGACACCGGCGAGGCGGAGATGATCGCAATGCAATTTATCCGTGAAGGCGGCGCCAATGCCACCGTCGATAACACCGAAAAGCATATCTTGGAACAATTCGACAAGAAGATCGCCGTGGATGATGGAAAGGGTAAGCGAAGGGCGGTTGCATACGATGAGAGCAGCAAGTCCAAAAAGGACACCGCCACTTCTACCGAGCCACCGGCATCAAACCCCGACGCCAATCTCAACCGCGCCGAAGCCGAGTACATGTCCGCGCTCCAAGCCAAATACAACGCCATCAAGATGATGAAGTCCCGTCTTGCTCTCATCATCACTTACCTCCAAAACCTCCCTTCCGACTTTACATCTGGCACGCAAACAACCACCGAAGCTGCCGAACTCGCCCGCGCTTCCAGCGGGCAGCACACGATCCCGTCCAACAACATCCTGCGGCACATCCAGGCCCTAGTGATCAACGCCGACCTCGTAGCCCCTGCCGAACAGGCCACATTGGAACGCGAGATCCAGCGTGAGACGAACGACGTCACCCTCCTCTCCATGGTTTCCAACCTTGTATCCACCGTGAACGAAGCCCGGGAGGCGGGGAAGAAGTTCCAAATCGTGGAGTCTGCGCGGCACATACGCCAGGGCCGGGCTCTCGCTGATAGCATACCACAGTACGATCAGTCCAAGCTCGCCTCAGAGTATAGTATGGGGTCCTTTGGCCTTTCCTCCGCCACTGCCGAGTATTAGGGACAAGGCAAGGAGGGTTCTGATGGACCGGGCGAGCCGCCAAAACCGGGCGCACAATGCTCCCAGGATGCCGGTGTGTTGTAAAGACTGGTTAGAGCTACCGAGAACAAGGATGGACATGCTGTGGCTCCAAGTAGGAGTCTATAAAACAGGCAGGGAATGTGTTTCTGATGATGACAGTTGTTTTTGATGATGACAGTCGGGAATGGAATGGGAAGGAGTAGCATTACACGGCTGGCGCGAGGGGATTAACTTTGTTTAGGCGTTGGAGAAGGTATGGAATAGTTAGTCATATCGCCGCAGTCTCGCGAGGAGCTATTCAAGCTGCGACCCTACTTACGCAGAGATCGAGTAAAGACCATAAGACACGAGCGAGTCGGAGCAGATGAGACGGAAATAGATACCGTGAGCTAACTAGAATGAAGAGCAAAACGAAACAGAACCAAAACCGAGCCTGCCCGTTGTCTAACCCCGAAGAGTTTCTTTACTTGCGTCCGGCCCATGACGCTTCGCGCTCTAAATCAACAAAATCCCAACCAGATCCCAACCTGTCATAAACCAAAACCGCCCATCCCATCCATCTATAATAGTTGTTGCCTGCAAAGTAAATCCCAAAACAAGATATGAGACAAATAAACAAAAGACTGCACAGTAGATGTAACAAGACCCCGGGGAAACAAGCACAACCAACACCACCCGATCACCGTTAGCCAGTCATCAACCAACCCATTTTAACTTTGTTTTTATACTTCCCCTCCCAACTCCCATCCATCGCAGCCGCGCGATCTTTCTTTCAGCTCAAGTCTCAATAACCACCTTCAACACCAAATTCCCCTCATCATCCACGGTCCGACTCGCCAACTCAAACGCGCGATGCGCATTCTCAAGGCCCTTGAACCGATGCGTGACCATCTCATCCAGACACGGCAAGATAAGGCCGCTACCCACAGCACCGGCCTGAACCTGGCGTTCGCGGGCGCACAGCAGACGGATACCCGTGGCGTAGGTGTTTGCGTAGCGGAAGATGCCGAGGATGTCGATCTCGCGCAGGTGGGCGACCGACATGGGCAGCGTCTGCACGGGGGTGCCCATGCCGACCATGATGACGCGGCCGCCGGCGCGGGTGGCGTAGAGCGACGTGTGCATGCAGACCTCCTTGCCCGTGCACTCAAAGGTGATGTCCACGCCGTCGTCGTCGTCATCGTTGTTGTCGTTGAGGCCGGTGAAGGTGGGGCTGGAGGCGGCCGAGGTGAGCGAGAGCATGTCGGCGGCGAGGGACTTGGCGTAGTCGAATTGTGATTGCATGGAGAGGGCGCTGGCCGGGGTCATGACGCCGTTGAGGGGGGTGGAGGTGCCGGAGCTGCTGGGGCTGTACATGGGGGAGCTGTTGGTGGAGGTGTGCAGGGGCCGGTCGACTACGTAGCCGTGGGTTGCGAAGCCCTTCGCCACGGCGAAGTCGACGCGGCCTTGGTCGACGTCGGCGATGGTGACGGTGGTGCAGCCGGATTGCCGGGCCCATGGCGGCGGTGAGGAGGCCAACGGCGCCGGCGCCGATGACGAGCGCGGTCGAACCCGGGGTGGGTTGCGCCCGGTTGACGGCGTGGATGGCAACCGAGAGTGGCTCTAGTAACGCGGCGGCATCGAAGGAGATGCTATCGGGGAGTCTGTGTTTGGGGTTAGCTTTGCCCTGTCCAGCACGCCAGCAGCTTCGGGGCAACTCACTTGTGACACCACGCAGCAGGGTGGTTGATGCGCTCCTGTAGCGTCCCCTGGAAGTGTGGCACAGATTTGGCGCTACTCCTAAACCTCATGCGCTTGCATAGGTTATACCTGCCACGGCGGCAGATGCCACACTGGCCACAGGGGATGCCGACTTCAAGGGCGACGCGGTCGCCGATGTTGAAGCCAACCACTTGCGGCCCGATGGCAACGACAGTGCCCGAGGACTCGTGGCCGAGCGAGAGCGGCATGCAGGCGCAGAGGTCACCATTGGCGAACTTCTTGTAGTAACTGACATCGGACCCGCAGATGCCTGTTGTGTGGACAGCAATCTGAAGTTCACCGATGCTGGGGTCACCGATAGTCCGGCGTTCCTGGGCGTGGTGTTAGTTGGGGCTTACCAGGGGAATGGATAATCTCCGAGCGAGAGGGCGTGGTAGGACAAAAATACCAAGACGGGGGACTCGATTCGTGTAACCCAGAGATCTCAGATCTCTCACCGAGCTAAGGACAGGGAAAGAAGGAGGGAAGGGGAGGCTTACCATACGGAGATCACGGGGGCCATGGAGAACTGAAGCGTTAATGGTCGAAGCTTTTGAGGCGGCGGGTAGGTGCATTGGCGCCGTTTCGTCAGTTGCGGCGGGCGCCATCTCGATAGGGTAGTTGTTAAGTGGGATGTGAGTGGGATGAGGCGTGGGATAGGGCGAGCTTAGCCAACGAGAAGGGATTTCCCCGTGGGGTTTGGGGCGCAGCTGGCGTCGTGAGGAGAGATGCGGCTCTTGCTCGATAGCCGACGGCGCGGGATGGGGGAGAAGTGGGTGCAGAGAATTCAGGGGCAACTGGAATGTGGCTATTCAGAGAAACGGTGTGGCGAATTGTGCTCCTGGTATATATCAAGAGTCACTTGGGCAGGACGTAAAAGATTCGTAGAGAATGGGAGGTGCTCAGTGATGGCGAGGAGGAGATCGGGCAGAACCCCCACACTTTAAGTATAGTAGGGACGGTTTGGCCGTCATGGTATAAACCGTTGACGTGCTGCAATGTGTCAATCCCCGGGGCGGGTCGTCCGGGGTTGACAAGACAAGACAAGAGGAGGAGTGTGCAAATGTCAAGGGGGCAAGGTCCAGGAGCGGAGGTCAACATGCGTCCTCGACATAACAGAGCCAGCATGCGCCCAGCCGGGCCTCGCCAGTCAGATACCAGCGAGTTATCTCTGTGCAAGGGCACAGAGCGAGGTACAGTGTGCTCCAGAGGAGCCCCGATAATCTCGGGAGAGCATGATGAAGCAGGTTAGTGTCGAGGCCAATCTTCGGCACCAGCACCGACGACCCATGTCTATCGAGGTTGGACGGGAGATCGCGACATCCAGGACATCCATGGATACTGTGCTCCGTGGATACTGTGTTGTCTTCAGCCGGGCGCGAAGCGGCTGCAGGGCAGGTACGTATTCTCCCTCGTTCTCCCCAAGACGCAGAGCACATTGTCCCCCTGGAAGAAACGCGCTGGTTTTGGCCAGTCCTGGTGCGATCCGGGAGCACTGGGGGCGAGGGTCTTTCCTGTCTGGGGCGCATCCAACCGTGCGGTGGAGCTTCTGGCGATTAGGTGCTTCCGACAGAAGCTGCACGGGAGGGAAAGCCGGCTTCCATGCAGCAAACCATTGCATGGTTCGAGCATGGGTAGCTCGCCGTTGGTTGGAGATTGACCTGGGGTGCCTGATGTGGAGTGTGTGGGTGGGTGGATTGGCACATTGGCACTGGTGAGGCGGGCATGGCGGGAGAGCTCAGACCATAACCAAAGTGACTGTCAATCTCAGCCGTCCGCTGGCGGCCGGGGGATGGCAGCGAATAGATGTGTCTCGTGCGAGCACGCCATCATCCGGCTTGCCTTAGGTCGTGGAACAGCGGCAATCATGGCGATATCAGACACGGAAGACGGTGCTCAGAGCCGGCTGTTTCGGAGGGGGTTCTCTATTTCGAGCTCTTAGCGAAGCTACACAACTCCCGGACGCTGCTGCAATGTCCAGGATGATGAGATAGAGAGAAGCCGCTATTGCCGCAGCGACGCGCTGGTTTCACCGGGTCCTGCCGTGTTTACTCATCCGATCCCGGAGTGCATGGCCAGTAGTTACTGTGTTCAAGGCATGCGTCGCGCAGATTGCGAGACGGCGACTCGGCGATATCGAAATCACACGGCGGGAAAGTTTCGAGGAAAAGTCGAGAACCAAGAAGAGGCCGGGGAGGGGTGTGGGGTTGAGCCCATCTGATGACGCGAGCAGGGGAGCAGGGGGAAGAGGGGCAGAAAAAGTTTATCGCACCGCACAGAAGCAAAGAACACCCTGCTGGCCTGGACAAGGCCTTCAAGGTTGTGTGTGCACCAACATGGAAATTGCTAACAAGGAATTCTGGTCGCTGGCCAAAGAGTTACCACCAGAGAGTCACTTCTCTGAAGCTGACTACCTCCATCCCCGTATCCCCGTAAGACGCCGAGGTGGGTATCTCAGCTGCTCTTGCAACTTCCGTCCCTCTTTTTCTTTCTTTCTTTTTTTTCTTGAAAATTATCTTTCTTTGACCTATCTATTTTTCTGTTGCCGCCGTCTCCGCATCGATTAGCGAGGAAAGCGACAGATCGCATGCCTATGTAAGTACCTAGGTACCTCTGTATGTACATGGGAAGACGGGAGCCTGGCCCTCACTCCCGTTCGTTCTGCACGAGACCGTGCGATGGGTTCGTCTCCGCACAATATGCTGCCGAGTGCTACCCCATAACTGACTCGCCGTGGTCAATCCTCCTAGATCCTTCGGACTCAGTGTGCTTTGGAATCTGGATGTTTAGAGCGACCATCATCGCTCCGCCGTCGCCACCGCCTTGGTGAAGAAGTGATTGTCCTCGACAGCTCTACCCGCGGCCGATCTCCAGTGGAGCGACCCCTGGCATCTCCAACTTTAGTCAACCCCACCAGTTGCTACCCCAATCATGGAGCACGAGCTCAGGGCCGCCAGGGTCTTCCAAACGGCCCGGTATTGGAGTGGGTAGGAGATGGACGACCGACTGATGGCCGCCAATCCGCCGAGAAACGGTTTCAAGACGATGAATCCTGTCCCAAGTCCGAGAAATGACGAAGCCTGAGCACGAACGAGACGGTTGCCCCTCTCTTTCGCGAAGAGCCACGACCTGTCGGGGCTGGCGCCGATTTCTCCCATTTTGCCGGCCCTATCGCGGAGCGCACATGGCAGAACAGGGGTCGACGACCTTCCTGGCACATGAAACGGAGTGACGAGCTCCAGTCCAAACTCAACGCGACCGCCATCTTCCACATGTGGATCACAAGCACATTTTTTGCATAAGGGAAGTATCACCTCGGGACCGTACAAAAAAAAAACCCCGGAAGGCTGGGAATACGATGCATCCCGGTCTGCTCGTTCCCGCCTTGCCGATGACCTTACACAGCAGCACCGAGGTGTGTGTCGGTGTGCATGCGGCCCTTATCAGAGGTTACCGCAAGAAGCCATCCCGGCGTCGCCTTGGCTGCCGATTTCCGCAGACCCTGATAACAGACGGGAGCAACGTCGTGCTTTACCAGATACAGCAACTTCCCGACTGCCATCCGGTGTTCGTCGGATGCGAGTTTCTGCTGTGCTTCCAACCCCATCCACGAACGACGTGGTTGAACATGGCCAATCATGGAGGTTCCATGCACGTTGGAGAAAATTGGAGTTGAGCAGGGGTTTGGATGGCGGCTCAACAGAAAAAGCAAGAACTTGCGCCAGCCAGCCCCGAGATATCATCATGCCGAGGGCGAATGTGGAGTCACAAAGGCTTTTTGGCGATACCCGTTTTTATTTATTTTTTCTCACCAAGCTGCGAGGGAGTTTGGTATTGTTCCTTCTCGATTGCGAATCGGGGAATCTTTCAAGGCCAAGGTCCAATTCGACACCGTGCCGCATCCTTGACGACGGTGAGGCTCAATCCGGGAAGCCGAGGTTCTCGAGAAGACGGGTTGAAGATATCAGGTTTATCAATTGACCACCGTCTGTGCGGACGGGCAAACCGAAATTCCCAGGCTAATGCGCAGGTGGCATTAGCGCCTCCTGTTGGACGATGGGAAGAACGACGGTGCGTTTGCAGCCGTCATGAACCCTGCATCAAGTCCAGGTCAGAGACAGCCAATCCCGTCGGTGAGCGAGCTCACACCGCGAACGTGGTAGCATCGGCCGGCCCCTGGATCTCGCACCATCTCCGCCACCCCGAAAGTTTCAGGCCTGGCGAACTGTTCCACTTGTCCCCGGGACGGCCGGGCATGGCTCTCCAACAGAGCAAGACCGCTCCTTTTCAACGCGGCTGAATTCGGAACGGCTGGGCTACCCGAGTGACGTTACGCAAGACAGGGGGCCATGCCAGGGTACGAACCACCAGGGCGGGGAGATATCAACGAGACGACCTCCACCGGGCCAGCAACGCCGGCATATCACCGGCTTGCTGCCTGCGACATGTTTGGCGAGCTCGCCTACTCGCCTCGCGCCATGGACCGGAGTGACGACGTCGCCTTACGGAACGCCCATCTCCCGATGTCGTGGAGACGAGGCGGTGAGTCTGCAGGCCTGGCGGCTCGCTTCACCCGGGACGGCACATGTATTGAATTGTTACATGCGATGCGGGTACGGCGATCTCGCAGAAGGAAAGGCGATACGTCGGATTTAGAGACAAGGCCTGGGCGCGCGGAGCTGCCTGTTCGTCCGCCCATGACGCAGGTGAGGACCCTGACGACTGTCGATGAGGGGGCGCCCACAACTCCCGGCACGTTTCTCTCTGGCCCAACCCCCCTTGACGGGACGGCCCTGGCGGATGCCGAGCCGTCTGGGGAGTCTCGTGGGGGACGGGTGTGGGTGGAAGAATGGCGTGCTGAATGACACTGATGTCGGAAAGTATTACCCCGGCGCCGAACCTCGGTGTAACAACACAAAGCAGAAACACTGCCCTCAACGCAGCAGGACTAGCGAGTATGAGCTGCGAGAGAAAAACACAAACCTGGACGCAACTTCCATGCACCCCAATTCATAACTATAACCTCACACACAACCGTAGACTAGGTAGCAAAGTAGGCCATCCCCTTGCTACAATGAAGCCCTGATAATCCATCCAGCTGCATTCCTCCTATACTGTGACATGCCGCACACACGATGAACGACCTAGACTAGAACGTGCTCGCGGCGAGCCGACTGGCGGCGTTCCTCGCATCCACCCGATCCTCGTCATCCTCCTCCAACACCCCGGGCATCCTCCCCCCGGCTCCGCTCAAGGCCCTCGCCCGGCCGCCCTGGTCCCCCCTCTCCCCGCCCTCCGGCAAGAACCCTTCCTCGCCGCCCTCAACCACCGAACTCCCCACCAAACTGCCCGACACGCTCCGGCTCATGGCATCGGCACTCCGGCGCGGGACACCGCTCCACGCATCGCCCTTGGGGCCCTGGCTGGCCGCCATGCTGGTGCGGCGGACGGTCGGCGGGTGTGCCTCGCGGCCGAGACGGCTCAGCCCCCCGCTGGCGTCGATGGAGCGAATGTCCGGGCGCACGCTCTCGAGGAGGGAGAGGGTGCGGCGCTCGGCCTCGATCTCGCGCAGCACGTACTCGCGCACCGAGAGGCGCAGGTCGGAGGCGGTGCGGGCGGCCCAGCGCCGCCGCTCGTGCACCAGGTTCTGCGTCACGCGCGTCGTCTTCTGGTAGAGCGCCGACTCGGCGTCGCGGGCTTCGTCGAGGGCGGCGATGGCCTCGTCGACCTTTTCGCGCCGCACGTTGGAGGAGGCTTTGAGTCGGTCGGCGGCGTTGAGTTTGCTGCGGGTGGCTTCTTGCGCTTGGAGGAGCTCGCGGATTAGGATTTGGCGGTTGGTGAGGGTCTCTTTGACGATGAAGGCGTCTTGCGAGTGGTATTGGAACGGGTCGCCGATCGTGGTGGCTTCGGCGGTGGCCTGCGCCGCGTGGTAGTCGCCGACCGTCTGGACGATCTTGCCGAGCTTGCGGTAGGCGTTGGCGAGGCCCGGGTGTAGTTCCTGTACGTGCATCGTGCCGAGCTTGACGCCGAAGTCGGACTCGGAGAGGCCCAGGCCTGGGATTGGTGTTAGATGGGTGGGATGGAAGGAGTAGATTGGGCTGGCTTACCTCTTCTTGACTTGACCAACTTGTCTACCTTGTGCCCGGCATCCATGGCGCCGAGGTAAAAGAGCTTGACGATGGGCCGGGCTTCTTGAAGTTCGGGAGTGTCATCCGGGGGCGGGGCGAATTGTTTGATGATCTTGCGGCGCACGCCGGTTGCGGGCTGCTTTTTCTTGACCATGGGGCTGTAACCAAAGTCGCTCTCGACGAAGAGCACCATTTCGTCGTCGCGCATGAGGACTTCATTGCTGCAGACGTAGTTCAGCCAGCGTTGTAGAAGTGCCTTGACCCGGATCTCGTCCTCCTCAGTGCCCGCGCCGGCGGATGTCAGGGCGGGGGGCACGGAGGGCACAATGGCCTCAGGGTTCGCTGATATGAGGTGCTCGCTAAGCTTGATGAACTCGGAGTGGAGGCGGCGCACATCGCGGTATTGGGTTGTCCTAAACGCAGGGAGGTTTGTCTAGACCCGTTAGTGCCCAGCCAGCGAGTTTCCATTTCTAACAGCCGTACGTACATGTACATCGAATCTTAGGATGGGGTCCTTGCGCCCGGTACGCTCTAGCCCAGTAATCTTCGCCTGTAGCTTAAATTGTGGCGGTGGGGGTTTCCGGGGCTGCTGATGTTCTTGCACCCGCTGTGCGTGCACCGGCTTCGGCCCTTGCTGCTGCTGTTGCTGTTGTTTCTGTTGTTGTTGCTGGGGTTGGGGCGACTGAGGCCCTTGATCAGCCGCAAAGCCAGGCTGTTCAGCATACGACTCGGCCGGAGCTGACACCTCGGATTGGGGCTCGGTCGTCTGCGAGACGGTGCTGGCGGTATCCGGCCTCCTATACTCGGTGTCACTTCCACCAAAGCCTCCTTCGTCGGTCAAACCGCTGTTCGAGCTCGGGTATGGGAAGGGGGCGCTCGGGACGTCGCCGGTGATGGAGCTGAAGGTGGTGCGGTTGGGTTGGGGCGACGAGTCCGGAGAGTTCCCCCACGGCGATGCCTCCGCGGACTGTTCCGGGTCGTGTATCGACGAGCTGTAGTCCATGGTGGCTACTTTGCGGGAGAAACAGCGTCGAGGGTGGTGACGTGGTATTCGAGGTGCCTCGTTCTGGCAAGTAGTGACCGTTAATACCTCTCTTTCAAGTCAAAACCAACAGGTTAAAGGGTCAATGCCACCACGGGTAAGTCAAAGTTGCCTTGTCAATCGCAGATTCGGAGGTGGGAATGCTCGTGTGGTCGTCGCAACTGCTCCGCATCGCCATTCGGTGATGGAAGCGGCGCAGTTGCCTTGCACCGAACGGGATGAACAAGCTTGGCGCCAAGGCGGGGGGATGGCGGGGAGTGCACGGGCCGTTGTTGAAGCTGCCGTCGAAAAAGCAAGCCAACTGCAAGCAACTGCTGAAAGCAAACCAACACAACCCTGGAACTTCCAACCGCCAAATGTGAGTTGTGATAGAAAACGCGGGGTTGTCTCATGTTTTGTTTACTGTGGTTGCTACAAGTACTGCCTAAAGCCCACAGTCTGGCGACTTGACATGCAGCAACTACCGAGCTCTGTATCTCCAGACTGGATGAGGATCCGCTCCGTCTGTTGTTTTCTTATTCGGTCCAATTGAGAATTGGATGCTTCAATCAACTTAAGGCTAGAATTTACCATCGAAAATCGGGGATGCTCTCCAGCACCCCCCTCCTCGCCTGCCGCCATGGCTCAAGCAGGCTACTGCTGCCTACCAGTGTGTTTCCAGCTGCCGTGTTGGTGTTAAAAAATACCCAATTGGCCCGGGGGAGGTTCGCACGCAGCTACTCGAGCGAATATGCACACCATGAGGCCCGCATTGAGAGCGTCCGCAACATCGGCATCATTGCCCATGTCGATGCAGTTAGTCTCCTTAGCCACGGCGTCATCCGAAATTCAAAAACACCATTGACACCCGATAGGGCAAAACAACCACTACGGAGCGCATGTTGTACCACAGCGGACGGACACGCCATCTCGGGAGTATGTCGCCGCCTGGGAAATACCTCGGGATAACCTCAAACTAAAACTGACTGCCCAGATGTCGACCATGGAAACACCACTACCGACTTTCTCCCCATGGAGAGGGAGCGCGGCATCACCATCCAGTCGGCCGCCGTGACTTTTCAGTGGCCCCCCAAGGCATTGTGCCCGCCTGACCACGAACCCAAGACCATCAACCTGATCGATACCCCGGGCCATCAAGACTTCCGCTACGAGGTTGACCGCTGTCTGCCCATCCTGGATGGTGCCGTGTGTATTCTCGACTCGGTCAAGGGTGTTGAGACTCACACTGAGCGAGTTTGGGGTTCGGCACAGCTCTCCAAGATCCCCCGTTTGTTGTTTGTCAACAAGCTGGATCGAGACGGCGCCAGCTTCCGGCGGTCCATCCACGAGGTGGCATCCCGGTTAAGGACATGGCCTCTGCTCTGTCAAATCCCCTGGTGGCACAAGGATGCCTTCGTTGGCGTCATCGATGTCATCCACCAGCACGGCTTCAGGTTCTCCAGCACCGGCGCCATGTCCGTCGTGAGCAAGCAGAGTATTGCGAAGGAGAGCACGGCGCTGCTCGAAGAGATGGAAACGGCTCGTCTCCGCTTGATTGAGACGTTATCGGAAAACGACGATGAGATCATGGAAGAGTTCCTTGAGTTGGAAAAGGACGTCTCTTCCGCCTCGATCAAACGAGCTATTCGACGCCTCGTCATGGACGGCGAGGCCAAGTTTACGCCGGTCTTTGCGGGTGCGAGTCTCCGAAATATCGGTGTGCAACCACTGTTGGACGCTGTCGTCGACTATCTCCCTAGCCCCACCGACAGGCCGCCACTGGAAATCATCGGGGCCAAGGTCCAAACCCTACCCCAGCTTCTTGAGCAGAAGGTCAAGCAAAGAGGATTAAATCAACATCAGGCTCCAATTGTGGCCGTCGCTCACGTCTTCAAGGTCGTTGACGATCCGCGCCGTGGCATGATGAGCTGGCTTCGCGTCTACCACGGCGCCGTCAGCCGGAGCAGCCACATGTGGAATAGCAACGTCCACAACTTTGAGAAGCCCCAGCATATTCTCCATGTGTCGGCCAAGGATCATCACGAGATCCAGAACCTGCCAACGGGGCATATTGGTGCCTTGACAGGTCTTAAGTCCGCGCGTACGGGGGACACGCTCATCACCTTCCCCGGTCACCACGGCAGCACCGCCCCTGAGGCATTCACAAATCTCCGAATCAAGGCGCCTGAAACCCCCCCGGCGGTTGCTTTTATCGCCATTGAGCCGTACACGAAGACGGCAAGCGACAAGCTTGAAGAGGCCCTCAACAAGCTCTCGCGCGAGGACCCCAGTATCAGGTGGTCCAAGGACGAGAAGACGGATCAACTGATCCTCTCCGGCATGGGGTTGTTGCACCTCGAAATCGCCCAGGATCGCCTCCTGACGCACTACAAAATCGACCGCGAGTCTGCCATGTGGGGAGAGATCGAGGTCGAGTACTCGGAGTGCCTGCTCGCCCCAACAAGCCCACACCACACCATATACGACCGCAACATCCGCGACAAGGCCGGCAGAGCAGGTTGCACCGTCACCATCGAGCCCCTAGAGGCCCACCATCACGACTCCCTCCTCGAGTCCAGCATCGAGCGTGACGGCAACATCATCCACGTCGCCATCCCGCTCTCCACCGACGGCAAAGTCAAGACCCTCCCCTTCGAACCAGATCTCGTCCGCCAGCAGCTCTTCAATGGCGCCATCGCAGGCCTCGCCCGGGGCCCCCGCCGCAGTGCCCCCGTCCGCCGCTGCCACGTGCACATCTCATTCGACCCGGCATCCGACTTCTTCGGCGCCGCCAGCACCGGCGGCCACATCACCAACGCGGCGCTCACCGCAGTGCGCGCCGCCCTCAAGGAAGCCCACACTAACGGCCAGATTGGCATCCTCGAGCCCTTCACCCAGGTGCAAATCCACTGCCCCGAAGAGGCCGGCAGCGCCATCCAGCACGACCTGGCCGCGGGCCGCGGCGGCCAGGTGCTCGAGGTGCACAAGCCCGAGGAGGACAGCGAGGCCCACGCCGACGACGCCGCCCCCGCCATCGACCTCGCCAAGGTCTACGTCCCGCCCGACCCGTACGAGTCCGTGCAGAGCCTGCGCGGCGCCAAGAAGGCCGTCGTTCGCATGCTCACCATTGTGGCCAAGGCGCCGCTCAAGGAGATGATGAAGTATGATAGCCAGCTGAGGAGTACTACGGGCGGCAGGCATACCCTGCAGTTGGATCCGGGTGGGTTTGAGTTGGTGACGGGGCCGAGGGAGAAGGCTTTGGAGGGGAGGTAGAGGGGGTTGGGTGAGAGATGGGTGGGTGTATCTAGCGGCTTTTTTTTAACCACACGTCATCCCAGTTGGGGTCATGTTGTCTTATGTGTGATGTGGGAATACTATCATGTCATATACAACTCCAGTGACTCAATCGCTCATCCTTGATACACCACCCATTAAAAAACAAGTTATCTCCGTAATAGCACTTGGGCGTCAATGGCACTCATTGTGAACTTGAAGAAGTGAAAGCCCTCAGCTCCTTGTAACTGGCAACGAATGTGACATCTTGTTTCAGGAAAACCAACACAGAGTTCTTTTAAACTTGGAGAAGAAACACGTAGTAATTCACTTCATTAGTCTTTGTTCTTTGAGGAATTCTCATGTCTCAGCTTGGGCAGACCGAGCCCCTGATCCTTCACACCGGAAGGCCCGGGCAGGGAAAGCAAACCGAGGACGACCTACAAATCTAACAACTTTATATCCATTTCTGCTTTCTTTTTGATCTCTCACACACTCAATTATTCCGGTCACCACCTTGTGAAAGCGGCAAGGGGTGCAACAAAACAACCAGGTGAAAAAACATGGCAAGTGTCAAAACCACCGCGCACCGTGCTAAGGGCCATATCACTTGCACTATCTCAACCCCTCTTCAACAAACCAATTGAACTCGCAGATGGCTTAGCGGACTCGCGTTTCACTTTCCAAAACTCAAATTCTCCAAGTACAAATGCTAACGCTCTCCACAGAGACTCCCCGGTGCTTGCATTGGACGGGTTTGGTGAGGACGGCCAGCGATTGTTCTTCTCCAGCATTAATATTTCTACAGCGGTGTCTTTCTGTCCTCGGATAATGTAACATACATGTACAAATAGCCTGAGCCGTAAGTACAAAGCTTCCCTTTGAACGCGAGTTCGAGCTGAGCCATCGAGACGAGTTCATTTTTTTGGCTAGTTCTGCTAGTTGCTTTCTGTTTATGCTAAAGCTTTATTGGGTTTCCGCCTCCTCTCGTCCCATCATGAACTTGCCAGTCCTTGTTTCCCGACCACACAGATCTCGGGCTAAATTACACCTATAAGAGCAATCAGTTCTTAAGGGTTCGTAGAGAGTGACATTTGGGAGTGGGGGATACTACTTAGGCAGGCCTCTCAACCCTTATGCTAAAATATAGAAGTTAAGGCTTAGGACTAGCTAGGCTTAGACCTCTCGCTCTCAAGTTCGGGGGAGGAACTATAAATTGCAAAGGGCTGGCATCTCGTGAAATTCTGCGTCACTGCTGTTCGTAGCAATGCTAGCGTTGAGGCGGGTTGTTTAGACCATCTCTCACTCTTCTTCATCTTCTTGAGGGGGCTCAAGGCCGTCAATTAAATCAACAGCATAGCCGATTCATTTATATGGGAAACTCTGAATTGAGTGAAAGACGAAACATAGTATGGGGTGTTTATTTAGGTACGTTTCATTCCACAGGTTGGGTCTCGCACTGGATGAAAACCACCATTCCCATGCCTCTTTTTATAGTATGGCAGCATGAAGTATAGCCATCAGTATATGTTCGTGAGGACTATCTTTCCTCCTCGGCGCACTCCCATCCATCAAGTCACCCACTTAATCAGCCAAAGATACACCTTCTCCGACAGGTTTTCAATCTTTGTGGCTGCGTTTCCCACATTCGGGGCCTTGACATGAAGTGTATAATACTAACGGTGCGAGGCATCGCGAATTACCTCCAGCGAGCAGAGTGATTTATCCACAACGACAACGTTTGTGTAGCGTGCTTCGAACTCCAGCAAAATAAACACGTCCTCGTGGTTGTTCGCGAACCATCCTCTGTTTGAATATATCTCGTGATAAAAACCGAACCTCAGGCCTGACTTGGGACGTTTGCGGCAAATTTCGGTCAACTTGGTGGCCAGCTTCGAACGAGAATGTTCTCCTTTTTCCAAGAGAAGCTTAGCTTGGGCCAGGCTGGCGATTATGGGCAAAGATAGCACTGGAAGAGCGAGGCGGTCGGTTCCGGGACAAAACCTCGCCTCCCCGGTGCCCGCGAGTTCCAGGATGGCAAACTGGAGAATAGAACGCAGGACGTCATTCTCAACCCAGAGCCTGTTCGCCATTTTCCAGAGCCGTCTGAAAACAGCTGTAATTGGATAAAATTCCGAGGACGGAAGCAGTAACGTCAAGTCCGAGATGGATGTGGCGGCAAACGCTATGTCACTATCCGAAGAATAGCTTGAAAGGAGCATAAAGATCTCCATAACCGACTCAAACACTGTCCGGGGTACGGCTCGACGCCGACTGATTCCCGGGATCGACGGCAGTGGGATATGGAAAATGAAATAATCATTCATGTCATAAAACTGGTCCGGTGGCTTGGCCGCGGCCATGAGCTGCACCATACTTATTCCGTGCTCCGCAGGGCACATGGTCGACCCTGAGGCAGCCGGCGAGCAGAATGATAAAGCCTGCCGCGTTGTGGAGTATTCATTTTTCTGGTGCTTCAAACCCCATGGGTCTGCACTTTCGTCATCATCCCGTGGGTCGTCATTCCATGAGCTGTCACTTTCATCGCCATCCATGAGTCGTCATTGTCGTTTTTGTCGCCGGCGGAGGCGGCACCCTTGGAGGCGTGAGCACAGATCATAGTCATTTCTCGCTCCTTTGCTTCGAGTTCTGCAACTTCGGCTTCCAACATTGCAACCTTTTCCTCAAGACTCGCTACCTTGGGGTCGGTGTCGTTGATGTCGTTGTAATCGTTGTTCGTCAACCCATAAACTTCAGCCATGAGCTGCTGTCGCTCGGCAGCATTCTTTTCGAGTGCCTCTTGTAAAACTTTTGCACTGATGGCGAACTGCTCGAGCTCTTCTCTCTTTCGAGCGAGATCCGCCGTGATAAATGCAAGTTTGGTCATGGCAACGTCCGATCGGGCTTGGGTGCTCAGTACGAGCGCTGTTTCGTGGCGGGTTGGTTCCGGGCTTGGCAGCTGGGTGCCATCACCATCGGGGTTCTATGATTACTTGGCTAGTTACCATATTTTCCTTTGGCGTCTGATGGTTTCTGGGAGTGCTCTGTCCCATAGCCCTAGTTGGGTTGATCCGCGGTTCAACTGGAATGATTCCGCTTGTTTCTCGCAAAAAGACGGGCAACAAGTCGAAAGGTAGAATTGGGTCCAACTTACGGCCATAGCTACATCCGTTTTGAGAATGATGCTATCAAAAGTCAAGATGGCGCAAGTCAAGATGCGGGATGATGTAGTCGCGATGAGCAACTTGCTTTTGTTGGGTGGCGGTGGTGAGATGAAAGAAACTCGAGATTGTTGGGGGGCGGGGGCAGAAAACAGTCTCAAGTTTTTAAAATTGGAAATCAAAACACTGCGAGAGGGAGGACCGGAAAGGCTAAAATTCCCCACTGAGCTGAGGTGACTTGGGTTCTGAAATTGTGAGAAACCCGAGGCCAAGTCCATAACCTAGAGCTGCCAGCCGTTTCACTCGCTACCTCTCAAACACCCCAAGTTTAAACATGACCTTGCGTCGTCCTCGTGGATCTAACCATCTAAGCCCACCCAGAAACACCAAACGCCAGCCATGCCGTACTATACCATACCATACCCACCATGCCATACCCAACCCCCAAACAGTCCGTCCTCTCTTCTCGACTCTCACACCCTCCCCCGCCCCGACATGGACCCTCCCAAACCCCGACTCAAAATCGGCCACTCATCACTCTTCCCATCCCCCTCCCCCAGACTCCTCCCTGCAGGAGTCATATTACCCCAACCCAAGCTCCGCCCCCATCCCACCCCCCACCACTCCAATCCAAATCCCCCCTAATCGCCGAATGCACCACCGACACCTCCCCCCCCACCCGCCCCCGAACCCTCCCCTTCCTCACCGCCCTCCTCGCCGCCCACTCCCTCACGGCGCGCGGCGCCAGCAGGGCCCAGGTGTATTCGCGAAAGGTGCGGGTGGTGCCAAAGACGAGGAAGGCGAACAGCACGGCGGTCGGGGCGGAGGCGCGAACAGCGCGATGTCGCCGCGGGCGCGCGCCGCGCTGAGGTCCGGGTGCGGGGGCAGGTTGGCGCGCGTGTTGGTGGCGGCGGCGCGGAGCTGGAAGTTGATTACGACGATTTGGAAGAGGCTGTAGGCAGGGGTGGGGGGTTAGCTTGGTGGGTGTTGAGGAGGGTGATGGTGGTGGGAGGGGTGGGGAGGGTAGGGGAGGGTTGGTTGTTTACCTGAGCGCGGCGAAGGCGACGGTGAAGCGCAGGACGAGCCATTTGTCGTAGATGGTCTTTTTCGGCGCCCGTCCCCTGCCCGAGGGCGTGGCGTTGGTGCCGCCTGACTTGGAGGAGGTGCCGTGGATGTAGCGGACGTTCCAGGACGCGAGGGTGATGCGCGAGTGGACGTAGCGGATGAGGATGGCGAGGAGCATGATACTGCCTGCGGCGAAACAGCCGATCACTTGAGTTTGTTAGGCGTGGTTAAGACGAGGAGGCGATTGGGGGACGCACTGATGGCATCGGCCAGCGCCATGAACCCCACGGTGCTCTTGTCAACACCACTGAAGCGGAGTAGGATCATTTGCACGACGGGCAAGAAGGCGGCGGTGGCTTTGGCGACGAGACTTGCGTGGAAGCGGTATATCTTGGTGATGCGTAGTTGGAAGATGCTGTTCGCCAGCTCGACGGCCCTAGACCAAGGTCAGCTGAAGGACGGGGGGAAAGAATGGCGCGTGGCGGGCGTACCAGAAGAAGACGAGTAGAGATTCGACATTGTAGGAGTAGTATTCTATGAGAGTTAGAGATCGAGGCCTAGGCGCCGAGACACGAAGCACCCACGGATGTAGAACAACACCAAGTCCAAACCCGTGGAACCACCGGTGATGTTAAGTTCGGGGTTGCCCACGTTCTTGACGAGGTTCTCGTACTGCTCCAATTTGATGTCGCGCCACCGAATAATAGTGTGTATCTGTTGGATGACGGAAGCTAGGGTGTGAAGCGTGACGAAGAAACCCAGCATGGCGACGTCTACACGATCAGCGACCGGCAGTCCAGCACAGGAGACATCTACTTACAGCTTCTGCGCTCATCGTGGACCCAGACCAGCCATAAGAGAAAGAAGCCGCAGGCGAGACAGATGAAGCTGTAGACGAGAACACCCACGGCGGTTCCCAGCACCCCGGGCGGCAACTGCTCGTCCATCTCGATGGGCGCTGAGCAAAGAAAAGGGACAATGAGAGAGTCACGGCATGGTATGTACAAGTAAAACGACTCGCTCAGCTGGGTAGTTTAGAAGAAATTGAGGCGGGCATGATTCCCGGAAGCTGAACTCTGACACCAGCCGTGGGCGGGGCCGAGGGACGACCGGCATCTGTTCAAAACACCAACATCCTGATTTGTACTAGTCAGGGTCTAGGGCGGCCCATTTGGCGCAGTCTTGGAGCGGGATGGAGCTTCCATTTTGCCTGAGCGCACGATTCATTGACCATTCTGGGAACTGCTTGGGTCCAAGACTCCAACACAGTCCAGACTGTCCAGCTCCTCCTCCGGGCTGGCGGAGTTTGGAGGGTCGGGGATCGGCATCATCCTTGCTCAAGGCTGTCAGTAGGGTTCCATCCGTACGACGCTGTGGCTAGTGGAAGGCCGAGAGTTTCGAGATCTCTGGACGATCCTGCGACAGAAGGGACAAAGGAACTGCAGGGGCCGGCAATTGCCAAGGTGCCAGTGGGTGCCAAAATATGAGCGAAGTTGGCTCGCCTCTCGGGGAACAGCTCGGTTTCGGTATTTTTAAAAGCACAACGAGAGGAAATAAATCGTCATGTCACGAATGATGTAAAGAAACAGATAGGTAATTACTGGGAAGATAGGTAATCTAGACCTTGTTGCTGCTGAAGGAAAAGATTTCTCCCCGGTACCTAACTAATAAAACTACTAAAACACTAGCAGTAAATTAGAATCCTAGTGCCTGTGAAATTCGGCATTCTCCGACGTACCAGGGATGAACCTCATTCATGCCATGACTCGTCGTAGCAATTGCTCCGTCGAGCTGAAGCCAAGGGACTCCATTTTGTTTGATAGCGCTTCGCAACCGTCACTGGCTTGCCCGGAACACGAGACGAACTCGTGGCAGAGTGCAGGATCGCCCCGCAACACCAAAAAACACGCCCCGGCGCGCGTTGTGGCTCGGTCCACCCCTCCAACCACGAGCCTCAATTAACCGATCGCAGCATCAACCACCACAAAGGCACCTAAACACCAACCACCACCACCACAAACACAACCATGGCCGACGATTGGGAACCTCCCCTCCCCGCAGGCTACAACGATGCCAACCGCGCCTTCCTGCAAGCCTTCATGGCGCGGGGCACGCTCACCTTCCGCGAAGGCCAAAAAATCCTAGCCGCCATCAAAGGCGCGCTCGAAGACGACGACACGGTCGTCCCCCCGCAATCCATCACCATGACCGACTTCGAGAACTTCATCCGCGCGGCGCGCGAGGCGGTCGAGCCGCTCGACTACGACATCCGCAACATGCGCGATCAGGTGCACGGCCGCGGCGGCGAGCGCGTGTGGGCCTTCATCAACGCCCACAGCGACCCGGCCACCCAGATGGCTACCGCCCGCAGCCCCGAGGAGGTCGCCTACGTGAAACGCCTGCTCGACGCCATGTTTGAGCAGTACAACACCCCGCGCATGGAGGTCATGGCCGTGGATGAGGGCCAGGCGTTGAGGGTGTCGCGGCCGGCGGCGGCGGCGGCGAGGCGCGACAGTAATGTGCATGGGAATGGGGGCGGCAGTAATAATAACAATGGGCGTGGGGACGGCGATAGTGATGGTGAGGGTGGGGAGGGGGGATGGGGATAGCACGGCTGCGGCGGTTTAGCCGGGGGTTGAAGCACTCGGAGCGTGCTCTCGCTGCTGGGGAGCTTGGTGGCCGAGGGGTGGTTGGACAAGTCGCGGGATGGGTTCTACAGCCTGCACGTCGCGGGGCGCTGAATGGAGTTGTGGTCGTGAGTTGATGGCGACATACAACGACCCAGGACAGCGAGGGGGAAGTGGCAGCGCGATCAAGTTCTGCGAGGCGTGCAAGGAGATCGTCGACCTACGGCCAGCGTTGCAACGAGCCTGACTGCACTGTCCGCCTGCATGATATCTGTGAGG